CCTCGGGGACGCGCTTATCGCGCTCTCCCACACTCGCTTGTCTCGGGACGCGGCGAGATAAGGATGAGCAGCTTCAGGCGCAGGAACGATGAGCGATACGAGGACACAGCAAATCAGCGGCGCCCCGCAATGTTTGGATTACCTCTCAGCTCTCCTCGACGACAAAGCGATTGATGAGCGTTCCAACTCCGGAGCTGACCTCGACTCGGACCTCGTCGTTATCCTTGAGCGTGAGGCGCGGGGAGCGAGTCCAGCCCACGCCGAAGGGTGTGCTACGCAGGTGGTTCCTGCATTTCAGCTTGACGTTGATTAATGGCGAGTAAACGAGCTACTCACCCGGTCAAAATGAGGGTACCTGGCTTCAGCGTCGTGCCCTGTGAAAGGAATGAGACGATCTTGGGAATCGAGAAGATGAGGTCGCTGGACGGCGCGCACAGAGAAGAGATGATCAGAGGTAACGTCCCATGAACCACGTCCCATGCACCAGGCTTGCTTCGCTACCACTCACTCGAGCCCCCCCTCCTGAACGACCTGGCCGTTGAGAATCCCCTTGATCTTCATCGAGGCGATGTCCTCGATGTCTTTGACGTTGACCAGCGCTGGGCCGATTGGGCATGCGCCATCGAAGCTCTTGCTGAAGCACCACTGAGATTGGGCAAACTGCGCAACCCTTTGCGAGACGTCATTCGAGGCTGTGAGGCCCAGACAATACTCCATGGCATCCGCTTCGGTTACTACGAAAGCGACGCAAGGCGAAAGCATCAGCAAGCAGATCCTCTTGCCAGTCTTTCGTCGCGGCTCACCATTCTTGGCCTCCTTGCCAATCACGACGGCCACCTCTGACTCGTAGTCGCAGGCGTCATCAGCTGCGAACTGATGCGGGATTGGGACTTTCGCAGGATAAGGGTCATTGAGAGACGTCTCGGGCTTCATGAACAGGACAGGCTGCTTGGGAATCTCCATCTTGACTTCCTCTGCATGACGGAGGTACTGATGGCGAAGGGCACGCATATTAGCCTCTCGTCGTGCCGTCTTGGCATTCTATTCGCCCTCGCTGGCACTCTCACATTGATGCCAATGCAGCGAATGGTGCCCACTTCACTCTGCGCCAAGGGGCTCAGCAATCGACTGACGTTTCTGATCTCCCCTGTCCGCTCGCCTGGCGACAAGACTGACGAGCCAGAGAAGATGGCGGCTGCGATCGACCCTGGGTCAGCCAGCGACGCTAATCCCACGTCGAGAGCAGCGTCGACTGGCTCGCCAATGAGCGGGCCAGAGGGGCCACTCGATGGTATGAAGCGGATGAGGCGCTTCCACGACATGGCGTTATCCAAGAGGGAGAAGGAAGAAGGCGAGAAGGAATTGCAGCCTGCTCCTTGCTTCTCGCCGAAGATTTTCGGCGTCCGTGCGTGGCGGAACGGGCTGGAGTGGGGGTGGAGGCGCGGCCGTCGACGACACACACAAAATCTTGCGAGGAGCAATCAATTGGCCTCCATACCAGGACCACGCAATCACCACCTTGCACTGACCCATCAGCCACTAAGGGAGAACCATCCGAGCATGGTGGCTGCTGCTCTCCAGCCAAAGCCTCAGCGCCGCGCGTCGTCGTCGTCGCGGCCAGCCTCTGGCACGCCGACACGAGCAATCACGTCTCGCACAACTGAGCACAGCTAAAGTCGAACCCATTGGGAGCAAGTGAGAGGCGTCTTGAGAGCTCATCTTCAGCTAGAGACGCCTACACCTGGAGTACGAACGACTGGGTGCCTCCTTCCAAGCTTCGACGATTGCGCCTGAGCTCCGCACGGTACTTGATCGCCAGGACGATCTCCGTAAACCGATTCGACAGCAAGCAAGAGCTCGAGAGCAAGTACAACGCAAGAAGACTGCGCCACATTCTGCAAGCGCTCATGCCGTTCGACAGCTCCCAGCACCTTATGCTGAAGCTCTCGTCAGCAACCCTGCCGCTTACTTTGTCGGCAGAGGGGCGGTGAAGGGCAAGTCCTGAGGGAGACACGACCGGGCGCAACTTCGGAGCAGAAGCTGCAATCTGCGCACCGTCGAGCTCACTCTTGACGTCAACAAGGCTGCCCTCACACGACCGCGTGATCTGGTATAACGCATCTCATGACGCGATCAAGGCGAGAGGCGAGCATGGAGAAAGAAACATCCAGTTATTTGATACGCTGCGCGCCTCGATCGCAGCGCAGCGCTGTCTATTCCGGGTGCTGATAGATTGTTACTCCAAGCTTCTCTGGCACAACATGTCGATGTTGGAGGCTCACGACGAATGGACTGTCTGATGATGCATCGCAGGCCTGACTTCTTGCAAACGCTGCCTGAGCGATAAGAGACTCAAGACGTGTCCAAAATTTGAGAACATTTGCATGCGAAGGAGGAATTTGTATCGACGAAGGTGCTCAGTGTGCATCGCAGTGCGTCGCTGCTCGCGCTTGCTATGCGCGATTGAGCTGAGCGTAGCGCGAGGCGAATACATCAGATACCCTTGATCATAACCTCCTTCAGCAAATCGACACTCGTCTTGATCCAGTATCTCGAGCGCTCACCGCAGACTGCGCCGTCGACATTGCGATACACGACAGCTCCTAGGATTCAAACAAAAAGCTGCAATTTAAGGTAGGGCCGAACGCGATGTCGAGCGAGGCGCTTGCATAGGCAGCTCTCTGGCTCGGTGCAAGAGCTTAGCTCGCAGCCTTTTTCTTCACCGGCGCAATGGTGCAGTGACGAGCCCTTGTCACGCAAGCTCTTCGTCAACTGTACTCAGAGCTTGCAGATGCTGCGCTGTGCTCCTTGCTCATTGCGTCGCAATACAGACGGCGGTGTGGGCGGCATGTTGCGTCGTGCTCTGTTGCGCAGCGTGATGCCGTAGGCTATTGCTGTGCCGCCTTCTGTCAAGCTTACTGCCGTGCACGTGCGAGAGAGTCATTTCAACGGTAAAGTGACTCGCGAAGCTGTCCTTCTACATGCCATGCTCTTGTGTAACGTGTACAAGCCAGCATGACTGTCCTCGCTCACTTCGCGGAGTGGTCTACTTTCGGTGGAGCTATGCAGCGCTGCCTCGTTTTGCCGGCAAGCGGGCGTCAGTCAATGGCCAACGCTGCCATGTCTACGAGATTGCTGCATTGTCCTCGGGAACGCAGCGTCACGACTGAGACCGAGGCAAGATCATGTGAAACAAGACAGGCTGGCAATAGATCGTAGCGTGTAGGGCTATGCTCCAGCTATGTATCGTCAAGAGACTCTGAGCGGACAGGCTGCGCGGTCTCGTGAGTGGCCCCGCTGTCTGCTGTGAGCTGTCGATTTGCTGTCAGTGGCTTAGCTTGCGACGGTGCGCCAAGATCAGCGCGGTGCTGTCGCTGTCATGCCTGTATCGCGGGTCCGCATCTCAACATGCCACTCGAAAAGTTAGTCGTTGGACGCGCAATGGTCGAGTCTCAACTCCTTCTCTTTCCCACTATCCTCAAGAGTCGGTCCCGCCTGCACGCTCTTATGTGGCTGCGCGTCTCTCTGTCCGCTCCTTCCGCGCGGGTCAGCTGAGCGCAAGCTCCATCAGCCTATTCCTGTTCCGAAGGTCAGTCGGGTGTGCCGCCATCGCAGCCATTTCGCAAAGAAGCCCCCTTCAGGAGTCACGCTCTCGAGGAGCGCGCTCTTGAGCAGATCCGGGTCGATTGTCAATCAGTCTTCTGCCGTTGTTGACGTCAATCGAGTGAGCGCCCGCCTCTACGTCCTCTTGGTATTCCGTGTACGACTAAACCACCGCATCGCTTGGAGCTATCCCAAGATAGATGTGGCTCTAGCTTCTTGCGCACCTCCCTCGCACGCCCCCTGTCATGGGTGCCAAGCCTGCTTTATCGCTTCGGCTGAAGCCTGCCCCCTTGGCTCTGAGCATTCCAGGGCAACCCCCACACCTCAACGTGCCCACGCTGCTGAATCTCTTCGACGATATTGCCGCTGCCATCGGTATTGGTAGTCGCCCCTCGTCCGTTTATCATCAAAGGAACGAGGAACGGTATCACCACACGTCGGTGGGGGCGGAACCAGGTCGCCGGCCGCGATTCGGCGCCGTCGTGCTCTAACGATGACGAGCATCTACCGTCGAGTAGAGAGAGAGAGGGCCCCGACTGACCCACTCGCCGCTGCCGCCGCCGCTGCGCGCATCAGTGGCTGGCGCGAGTGCCGCGCCGCCGAGCAGAAAAGGCGAATTCTTCTGCAGCCAGGTTCGAGTGTGCCGGGCGCACAAGGCCACCTCTGTCACAGTGCCTATCTAGAGAGGGGCTGCCAAGGGGAGGCCAAGAGCAGCCGCGCCCACTTGTTCCCCCCGGCTCGAAGCGGACGTCTTGCGCGAGGGGCCACACTAAACAATGCGGCGACGACCAACAGGAGCGACTCAGTGCGACAATCTATCTTCCTTTTCAATCCATCCCTTCCCATCCCTCCAATTCTCACCTCGCCGCCATGAAGTTCTCCCTCGCTCCTCTTGCCTTTGCCGTCATCGCCGCCACATCGGCTCTTGCCCAGGAGTCGTCGTCGGCCTCTTCGTCTTCGATGTCGTCGGCTGCCCCCAGCAGCTCGTCTTCGTCGGCACCCGCCTCGACGCCCGCCCCTTCGTCGTCGCAAGGCGGTGAGGACGGTGGCTCGTCGCAGCAGACCGTCTGCCAGGCTCTCCCCGGCTACGACGAGGGCAGGCCCTTGATCCCCAACTACGGTTGCGACGGCAACACGACCTCGTGAGTGCGAGCGGCGAGCGGCGAGCGGCAAGCGGCAAGCGGCAAGCCAAACTGACCTCTTTGCTCCTTCGCTCGTTCAGGACCCCTACCTACGACTCGACGAAGCTCCAGTCGTACCTCATTGGCGGCCACACCCGTGGCCCCGAGGGCGAGCACATCTCTGACGTCGCTACTGAGCTCGCCAAGTCGGGTGAGCATCCCGGCGCAGCGCCACAGCTCTCTTGTCCCTATTACTCACACAACCCTTCCATTCACTCCCCACGCACAGTCACCAACCTCTACCCTTCGTTGACCATCTCATTCAGCGACCTCGCTCACCAGTACGTCACCGCCATCGAGGCCTCCATCTCCGGTGTCGCTGCTGGCACCGTCAAGGTCGACGGCGCCATCACCCAGCACGCCAACAAGATCTGGACCGTCGCTGCTGCTGCCGTCGCCGTCGTCGCCGGTGGTGCCTTCGCCCTCTAAGCAGGTGCGACTCAACCCTAGATAGACATCCAGTCCAGAGTCTTGCGCACGCGCGGCCCCTTCGCCTTCACTCCTTCATGGCCGACAAACTCTTTAGTGCCTCGTCGTAGCTTCTCTTGCGCGCACCCCATTCATTCATGGAAAATACACACATTTGGAATTGCAGACGACAAAGGTGGGCCATGTGGGGTGGTCTGAAAAGTGGTTTTGAATTCGCACCGCGCCGCCGCTCACACCTTGAAGCCAGTGGTGAACCACGACCAGTCACGCTCTACAAAGCGCAACATGTAGTCGTCCACTGTGCCCTCCTCATCTTCCTCCTCCTCTGCTGCTCCCTCGACCTGCACTTGTGTCTCGTTGCTTGCCCCGATCTGCACACGCGCCTCATTGCCTGCCTCCTCGCCCGCATCGTCTGCCGCCTCTACGCGTGATTCCTCCCTAAAGTCGGTCACTGCATCGTCCAACGCCACCATCTCCTCGCGAGCAGCCTCGGCCGCCACCTGGTCTTCCTCATCCTCGACCTCTGCGATGGCTCGGGCAGCCGCATCGTCGTCGCCCTGCGCACCATCGTCGCCACCCACAGCCACGCCCGCTAGCGTCTTGCCTCCGTCATCGAGCATGTCGCGCCAGTCGCCACGCTTCAGCCGCTCCGTCGTAAAGTCACCGCCGCCAACGACGACGCTGTCGAGGAGACGCTTCTGGTCAGCCTTCTTGAGCATATTCTCCTCAATGGTAGCCTCGGAGACGAAGCGGTAGATGTGGACATCGCGCGTCTGGCCAATGCGGTGAGCTCGATCCATGCACTGAGCCTCAATTGCTGAATTCCAGTCCAAATCGTAGAAGAGCACCGTGTCTGCGCCCGTGAGGTTGATGCCGAGCCCACCGCTGCGAGTGCTGAGGATGAAGGCGTCGATACGCGTGTCGCGATTGAACTTTTCGGTGAGGGCTTGACGACGATCGACTCTAGTGGCTCCGTCCAGACGCAGATAGCGATAGCCGTGCAGGTTGAGGAATGCCTCGAGGATGTCGAGGACACGCGTCATCTGTGTGAAGATGAGGATGCGGTGACCGCCGTCTTTGAGGCGGCTCATCAGACGCTCCAGCTCTTGTAGCTTACCGCAGTCGTATTGCAGCAGCGAGGCGTCGGGGAAAGCAATTTGCAGCTTGGTTGCAGAGCGATGCAGTGGCGAGTCCAAGTTGACGTCCCTGGAGAGCTCGACACCGGGCGCCGCAATCTCCTCCAAGCCCTTGGCCATCGCTCGCGGGGGCACAAAGGCAAAGCGGTCAACGAAGGGCGCCATGGCCTCTGAACGAGCTTGTAGCGAGCTGACCAGACGAAGTGCATGCGAGCAGCGCGAGAGATACGCGCGACGATATCCGGGTGCACCCTCGATAAGATCGAAGGGCTGGAGCGTAGATGCCATGCTTCCGAAAATTTTTAGCAAGCCACGCCCATACGTCGGGTGCTGAGCGCACCGCAATCGATTGACCCGTACCTTGGCCTTCCAGTCGCGGACCTCGTCGGCATGTCGACGTTGATTCAGCGTGCGCCGGTAGCCTTCGATTGTCCACATGTCCAGGGGCGGCTTGGATGGTAGCGGCGCCCGCGCGTATGGCAGCTTATCGGAAGCGTCGAGTCGTCGCGTGAGTCGGGTGGCGACCGGCGTGAGGTGCTGCTCTCGCGAGGTGACGTCGAACGACACTGGCCCATCAACCACGTCTGGAGGAGCAACAGCAAAGTGCTGCCTAACAAGTCGCTCTCGGTCCGAGTATTCGGCCGCGACGGGTTCCATGGCGAAAGCGGTAGCAATCGGACGAACCTCGAAAAGATCGGGATGATTGCAGACCTTGCGCAGTTGCATCAAACAGTTGATGATGGACATGTAGCTGCCGCTCGCGAGCGACTCCTTCGTCTTGGCTCGACTCATAAAGTCATTGTAGAGGAAGCGTTGGCGCTTCGAGAGACGGCATCGCAGCACATGCTCGTACTTGCGAGGGAGCTCCTGCTCAACTTCACTCTTGAGGCGACGTAGCAGAAACGGACGCAAGATGGTATGCAGCTTGGCCACCATTTTCTTGGTCTCCTCGTCCATTGAGCTGCCAGCTTCAACGGCTCGGTCGAGCGGGTTGGAAAACCACTCCTGGAAGTCCTTCATGTTGGCGAATGCCCCGGCGCCCGCGACGTCGCTGAGGCCGTTGGGCATGAGGAAATACATCAGCGACCAGAGATCCATGAGGTTGTTTTGCAGGGGCGTTCCGGTCAGGAGTAGGCGACGTTGAGAGTTGAAGCCGAGGAGCGTCTGCCAGCGTTGAGAGCGAAAGTTCTTGATGTGGTGAGCTTCGTCCAGAATCATGTAGACCCATGGCTTGCGACGAAAGATGTGCTGGTCGGCGAGAACGAGCTGATAGCTGGTAATGCAGACGTTGAAGCTGTGCTCGGTGTTCCACCCGATGCGTTTCTCTTTGCGCTCGCGTTGTGACCCGTAGTACGAAAGGATTTTGAAGCCCGGCAAGAACTTCTTGAACTCCACTTCCCAATTTAGCATGACACTGGTGGGCGCAATGACGAGGTGAGGCCCCCACACGCCGCGGTCGCAGGCCAGATGGGCGAGGAGTGAGATCGTCTGAATCGTCTTACCCAATCCCATCTCGTCAGCGAGGATACCGTTGGCGCTGTTGGCGTACAAGCTGGCAAGCCACTCGAAGCCAGTCTGCTGGTAAGGGCGCAGATTGCCGCGCAAAAGAAAGGGCTGATGTAGGGCAGGAGCATTGGCACCCACCTTGGCCAGCGAGATTGACGCTGCGTCAGAGGTGTTTTGAGAGACGGTGGTGCCGTTGACATCCTCGCGCGCGGTCGATGACTCCGACTCGCGCTCGCTCGAAGAGCTGGACTCCCCATCCTCCTCCATCTGATCCTCGTCCTCGCTCTCTTCGCTCTCCGCCTCTGACGTCTCGCCATTCGCCGCACCGTATCCGTAGCGCCTCATCAGTTCCTCAATCGGTACGTCGGCGTCTGCCAGCAAGCCATCATCTTCGCTCTCATCCTCTTCGTCTTCATCGCGCATCTCCTGCTCCAGCTGAGCATCTTCGCGGCGACGTCCAATGTTTTCCCCCTCGTCGTCGTCGTCCTCTTCTTCCTCCCCCGCTGACACGGAGGCGTTTGACCCAGCAGCGCTAGGTGACGGGGGGATGTCGACGTGACCATTGACTTCGCCATTCGCCTTACTGAACGGACGAGAGTGATCGTCGGCGATGCCGTTGATTGCTTGCTCGTTCGAATTGCTGGCGTCGCCGTCCTGGCCGCCGGTCAACTCGACGATACCGTTGCCGTCGCCGTTGATGCCATTGGGCTGATGCTTTCCAAAACGAGTGCCCAGCGGTGATGGGACTGGTTCGGCCTCAGGAGACTCAGGGATAGCAGGAGGTCGACCAGTTGAGGTCGGAGGGGAGCTCCTCTCTCGACTCGATCGAGATACTGAATCGCCGCTGGCGTCCTCGATGAGCCTGCGTAGACTACGATGCCGGTGATCTTCCTCGCCATCGCTGGCTTCGTGACCGTTGACGTCAACGAGAGATGCCATGTGGTTCGTGTCGCCTTGCGAGCTTGCTGCCGTGCTACGGGTCTCGGGTTCGCCGTTTTGACTCCTGTCGTCATCGCTCGCTGCACTCCCATCGTCCTCGACGCTGTAGACGTCTGACTCGGTGCTAGCTTCGCTCTCATCGTCGCCCGCCTCGCTCCCTGCATCGCTCAAGATACGTCCCTGTCTCAGGTCCTCCTCCCTCTGACCCAGGTACTGTGTACTCCTCTCGAGGATCATGCTGAGCTGCTCGCGGCCGGCCCTTTCCCTGTCGAGCTTTTCCTGTTTTGCTTTCTGTGCGCGCACGACGCTCACTGCCAGCTTCCATTGCTTGTTGACTTCGCGTACTGTCCAGCGCGCCAATGTTCTGAGGTGACGCTCTTGAGCCTTGCGCTCTCGTTCGCCTTCTCCCTGGCGAGACTGCCAGTATGTCTGAATCGCTCTCGCTGCTTTGCGGGCGACGGCTCTGCGCTGCTTGGCTTCGCTGCGGACGGCATGGGCGCGCTGAGCGATGTGGTCGACGTGCGAGATCGACGGAAGTTGCGGCTCCTTCAGCGGACGCAGCACGGTAGTCGAGGCTGGCTGATCGAGCAAGCGTCCCTCTGCTCGAGCCGCATCGATTCGCGTGTATAGATCTGCCTCGCGCTGCTCCCATCGCTCTGTCTCTTCCGGATCCCAGTCCTCGCGCTCGTCATTGCCCAGCATTCGAAAGCTTCCCCAGAATGCGTCGACCGAGCCGAAATCGTAGGGCTCGGGCACTTGCTTGTAGCTCGTGGCTGCCAATAACGGAGGTATCGGTGGGGGGACGTGCTGGCGCTGTCTGCGTTGCCAAAGCTCGAGAAGAAAAGCCTCGTCGTACTCCTCCTCTCCGTCCTCTCCCTGCTTTCTCGCCTTCGTCGTCTTCTTCTTCTTCGCTGGCTGCTCAGCTTTGACGGGCGAGGAGCGACGAGGCTGCTTCTTGGAAGGCGTGGCCGCATCTTCATCTGCCTTGCCCTTGCCCTTGACATCGCTTGGGCGAGCCTTTCGCAGCGACAGGTCGTCCATTCTGCTGCTCACGATACGCCTCGTAGCTCGTCGTGCTAGCTTTGATTCGAGGTCGAGGCCGTGCTCAGCACGAAAATGCTCAAAGACGTGGCTTCTGTCCTCCTTTGCTATTGCTGGGTCGTAACCTACGTAGGTGACGAATTTGCTCAAATGAAAGAGCTCTCGAACCATTTCATCATGGTCGCAATGGATATCGTCGAGCTCCTGTTGCAGTCGATCGAGCGTGTCGCCCCTTGTAGGGTGAAATCGTGGAGGCTTCGAAGTCGATGGCCCTGCTACAGGTTGCGACGAGGAGATGGTGCGCTTTCGACGCGGCGTGGAAGATGATGGTGGACTACTTCTGATTACGAGCCCATCGTAGTCATCTCTTAGCTTGGAGGAAGGACGACGTTGACGCTTCGAGGTGATGGGCGCTGCCGATGTGGTGGCCGTCGTGCGGGCCGCAATGGCCTCTCGGGATGGCTGAGAAGGGCCGACGGCAGGACTTGCTCTGGCTGAACCCGTCAGCGAGGCCGTCCTTCGAGCTGGTCTGCCCTGGTGTGAAGAGTCAATTGCGAAGTCGAATGCCGCTCCTGGATTGTCGAATTTGAGGCCGTCGAGCTCGAGCCTCCTCTTCTTGACAGGAGCAGGCGACGAAGAAGAGGAAGAAGGCGATGCAAATCTCCCTTCATCGTGCGGATCCGCCATCTCGACGACGCAGCAGTAGCGGCGGCGGCAACGATTCTAGTCAGGATAGCGATGATGACGGTCAAGAGGCAGGGAGAATTGGAAAAGTGGCGAGGAGCGTATTCTATTCGGACTTCGCGTCGTCGCCGAATCGACTCATTGATGAGGCGCCCGCCCGCGCTTCCGCTCAATGGCCGCCCTGCGATGTCGCTCGTCGCTCCATCGCAAAGCGGAGGTCAGACCAGATGCAGGCCAACCGGCCCTGAGTCGCGCTCGCTGCCTCCTACTCCACCGCAACACCACTTCGTACCTTGGAGCCAAGATGATGGAGTGCGTTACCGGCGCGACAGATATGGCTACCAGAGAAAATCCGCTGATAATCAATCTTCCACCGTACAGACCCACGACTGCCCCGACTCACCCGCCCAGGCTTGACAACAAAATCTCACGCGCTGAGCTCAGCAAGTACGATGGGTCCAACCCAGACCTCCCCGTCTACGTCGCCATCAAGGGTGGGTGCTACCCCCACAGCTCGAGCTTGAAAGGCAGCGCTGACTTCACACTCACCGCCAGGCAATGTATTCGACGTCTCGCCCAAGCGCGAGATGTACTCGCCGGGCAAGGGCTACCACATCTTTGCCGGCAAGGACGGGTCGAGGGGACTCGGGATGAGTAGCCTCAAGCCCGAGGACGCCGTTGCAGACTACTCGACGCTCGATGACAAGCAGCTCAAGGTGCTCGATGATTGGGTCGCGTACTATACCAAGTCAGTGCACCCGCCGTCATGGCCAGAAACGCAGCCAGGCGATGCTGACCAGCCTTTCCCCATTTTCCTTCGCAGGCGCTACGTTGGTAATCAGCTTGAAGAGCCTGGCGAGATTCTGCGAGCTGACCAGACACCTCTGCCTTCGTCGCACAGAACATCGAGGGTGTCGTCTCGGAATAGAGGGCATGATGGAGCCGTACAGAATCGTTGTAGGGGTGGGCAGATGGCACGCACGATGCACAGGCAATGAGATCAGTTACCTTGAGCTAATCGTTGTGAAGCGGCAGGCGAAGCTGACTGTGCGGTCCTCAGAAGCGAAGACGAGGAGCGAGACAGACTGACCACATCAATGCTGCCCCTGCGCTTTCGGATGGAGCTCGGGACTATCACAGTCCCACGATTGCAGCGTGGCATTTCTTGTATTGCAGGCTAACCGTGTCGCCCTCTATGATACAATTGCGGAATCTCAATGGCCTGGCTCAGCGAGCAATAGGCCAAAGCCCATCATGATGAAGAGGCACCCAAGGGCACTGGTGAGTGAAAAGTGGGCCGCCAGTAAGCCATCGAGGACCGCTACGGCCACAGTAGAGAGTAGGCACGAGATGCTTGCGACGACCGGGCCCCAAAGGCCCAGCAAGATCATGAAACAGCCGTTGAAGATGACTGATCAGAAGACAGGAATCGAGTAATCAGCAATGCTGTCACAGTGCGATGACTGCGCACACTCACTGCCTGACACGACGACGAAGAGTATCGCGAACACGGTGAGCCAGTTGTGTGGCCACTCGAAGCGTTCCCAGCCGGTGATGTGAGCGACAACCTGTTTGTGTGCAGCGGCGTGAGCTTGGCCTCATCTCCAGCCACAGAGCTCTACTCACCAGTCCGATCCAGAGCGTCGCGAATGTCACGGCTCCTATGCCCGCCGTCATGATATTGGCGTGAAGGCCGAACGGAAGCGGCGGGGGTATCCAGGTGCCCATCATCGCTACATTGTTGAGCTCTGCCTTTAAGACCTCTTCCTCTTCCTCGTCCTCGGCGAATCGCGCTGATCGTGGTCGCGCTAGTCGAGTGGAACCTGCCCGCATCTCGTCTGCATCCCCGTCGTCAAGCACGCTTTCCGCTTCGTCCTTGTCGTCCTTGGTCTCTCCCAGCCGGTCCGAGATCATTTTCGCGTCAGGCTGACGATCAGCGTCCATCGTGGCGGTAGGCGTGCCATTGCCGTTGGATCCATACCCGGATGCAGCGACGTCGCCGCCTTCCCAGATCGCTGAACGCTCGTCGTGGACATGGTCCGGGATTGCCAAGGACTGTGAAGGCCGGTCCACGGTCGGCTCATTCTCCATCTCGTCCTCATCGTCTCCTATCTTATGCAGCAATCCCTCATCCTCGCCGTCCTGCCTCATCCCTACCTCGCTCTCGTGTCGTGTGACAGCGGTGCCATCGTACCGTCTCTTCTGCTCATCCTCGTCGGGTAGCGTACCGAGCAACTTAAACGCCATCTCATAGGCGGCCATGGTCACCGCAGCAAAAAGCGCGAGCAGGTCGCCCAGTAACGGGTTGGAGGCATCCTCCGCAGGTGCTGGCGTCAGCGTCGTGGAGTCTGGCGGGATCGCCTCCCCACCACCTCGCGCTTGCAGCAAAGCACTCGTCCCCCAGTCTACCACCGCACGCACAGCCGCCTCAGTTACGGTCGGCAAGGCCGAGCCAAGTGTTGTCGTCGTGCTCGTCGGCGCAGGTGAAGACGTCGTCGTCGAATGACCCGGCTTGCCGTACACGGGATCAAGTTCCTTGGGTTTCTTGCGATGCTCTGCCCCTCCGTATGCGACAATGACCACCCCTCCGCACGCCATGATGACCGACAGGACTTTGTAGCGGCTCCACTTCTCCCCCAAGAACCAAACGCTGAATACGAGTGCCCACACCGAAAATGTGTTGTACAGCGCAGTAATGTCCGCCATGCTCGTCATCGGCACGGCTGTGTACCAGCTCAGGGCCGGAATTGTGATAGCCGCCACGAGAACAAGGAGCAGCAGCACGAACTTGGGAGCGTCGAAGCCAAAGCGGTGCTCTGACCACGTCGAGTAGACGGGTTGCGGACGAGCAAGACGCATCGAGTCCCGCCATGAAGTAGGGCGAGCACGGACAGACGAGCGACTCTCGATGTCGCCATTCTCCCGTCGTCGCTCGCTCATCGACATCCTGCCGCTGTAAGTGGATAGCCGCCTCCTGATCTCCTCCTGCACCTCACCCTCCTTGACGCTGCGTGTCGGAGTCTTGAGCTGCCAATGCAAGTTTTGAGCGATCAGGTGGAGATGGTGAGACAGTGGCATGCCAGACGTCCATGTCAGGAAGAGGAGATGAGCGGGAAGAAGGGTAGCAAAGCCAGAGTGGCCAAGATACAAGCTGAGGAGAGGCTTGCGATAGCCTAAACCCTGCTGGACGTACTGGGCCGCCTCCGTCTGGAGAGTGTACGAGACGAGGGAGATACCAAATGCGGCGAGGGCCTGTTGGCGAGGAGAATGCGTGAGTACAGCTGGAAGGGCATGATCGCGTGCGCCCTCTCACACCCACCTTGTTTCCCCCTGGTAGCCTGGCTAATCGACCCTTTGCGCTCGTCGTCTCGCCGCTGTTCTCACCGCCGCCGCCCGCTCTACTGCTCGAGGCCATCGATCGAGCCTGTTCATCTCGCGATGCCATCGTGGTGGTGTGTGTGGGAGGAGGAAGATTCAAAGCCAAATCGCCAGCATATAGGGAACTGCGCCGAGTGTTGGTCGCAATGTCGTGGGAGGCCACGAGTTGTGATTGGAAGGAAAGCAAGTGGCCGGAGCGCGGCGGGCGCACCGCATCGACCTGCAGGCCCGGCGGACGAGCAGCAGCGGCTGCGACCCCGCACTTCAGGCACGCCCGCCAACCTGGGCTTCATTCAGCAACAGCACAAGATTTCGTACAACGCTCGTACAACGCTCGAATAACTTAAAAGTACATACAGACATTGCGTCCCACGATCTTCTCCTTAACCCACGCCTATGCTCAAATCTCCAAGCGCATGCCCTGCTTCGCGATGATGAACCGCACCCCTAGCCCATTCTCAACATCGAGCTCCTCGAGCTCCTGCAAGATCCTCTGCTGCATTGTTCGCGGGTCCAACACCCTCCCACCGCCACTCGACCCAGTCGCAGAAGAGTCCGTCGACTTGCTCGCATCCTCTGCGACCGATGGGAAGAGCGCCTGCTTGACGTGAATGATGACTACGTTCAGCCCAGCCAGCGTCCCTCGCAGCTCAGCAGAGTCTGGCGCTGATAGAGGACTCGGCGGCACCATCGACGGCGTCATGCTACCTGCGTTGCCATTTCTCGAGCCTCCTCCAGCGCCGCCGCTCGCCACCTTGTTCCTCCGGGCAAGGACAGCACGCTCGCTCTTGACGCATCTCGCCAGCACTCGCAGCTCGTCGTAGAGATGATTGACGGAGAGATGGCCCCAAAGGAACTCCGTGGGATGCGCGGCCGGGAATGAGCATTCGAGGAACATCGTCGTCAGCTTGCCCACAGCAAAGCGAGAGGCCGTATGTTGCCAGATGCGCTTGTTTCTCGGCGCCCGAGATACGCAGTCTGGCTCTACGTCCCCAAAGAAGAGGACGTCGTTGCCCGTGCGCTTATTGGTGAGGAAGAAGGCCGTGCTGTCCAGCGCGCCGCTGTGATTGTCGATGCTGACTCGGCGAGGAGCGCCTGCCCGACGTCCCCGTGGCACAGCGTCCTCTGGGCCGCTTTCCTCTTTGCCCGCAGCTCGCTCTGAGCCAGAGGCCGTCTTAGGTCTGAGGCTGGACTTGAGGCGCGTTGCTGCTGGCGGCGGCGGCGGCGGCGCACTGTCCTGAGAGACTGGTGTCATTGGCTTGACGGGCGGTCGCTGGCTCTCTGGCACTGCGAATGAGCCCGCAGTCGACGCTGGGGACTCCGAATCTGGCGCTACGCTTGAGTGATAACTGCTGTCAGAAGGGCTTGGCGAGGTAGCGCCACTGGCGTCCCCTCGGCCGGCCGGCACGGCAGAGGTTGGCTGCACGTTTGGTGCGAACGGACTGGTGAAGACGGGCTTCTCCAAAGAGGCAAAAGATCCGTCCGCCTGGCGAGGCGGTAAGGTTAGGCTATTGAGCGGGAGTGAAAAGCGTTTGTTAAAGTAGCTACCGCGGGGTGCGAGCGTCGACGATGGTGTCGGTGTAGGCGGGGCCGGCAGATTTGTGGAGCTCGAGCTCAGACCATGAGAGAGAGCGAATGGCAGGACCGATATGGAGTCATCAAGTGTAAGCACAGTCTGTGACTCGACGCTGTGCGCGGAAACGGGAGGATAAAGAATGTCAGCCACTCCAGGTGCATTCGCACCATGCCTTCCTCGAATGCTCACGGCTTGAGGTGATAGACGATGAACGGATCCTCTTCACGAAAGCTGGCCAGCTTAGGCCAGAGCTTGCCATCGAAGATGCCCAAGAGGTTGTCCAGCGTCGACTTGAGCCCGTAGACGGCCCTCTTTCCTGGTAGACTGGCAGATCCGAGCACCATACCGAGGATATGGTCGAGGTGGGCGTGAGAGATCAAGAAGGCTTTGGCATAGGAGCCGATCTCGCCTGCTCTCAGTGAAGCGTCGCTGTGTGAGAAGTCAAAGTCGTAAAAGGCTTTGCGCAGCTCTTCCGAGCATACACGAGACAGCGCGCCTAGCCATGAGCCTGGACGGGAGCCGGAAGCCGGGACCAAGGGAGCTCGGTCAGCGCTGGATCTCAATCAAGAAAAGGCCATTGCCGGCGAGCACTCACCTCCTTCGAGCACGTACATGCCCTCGCGCCAGTGACGGTCGGCAGCCTTGACGATGTAACACGAGCAATCGCTTTCCAGCGGCCCTCCGCCGACACCCAGGCAGACAAAGGAGAAACTAGGCTCCTGCTCTGGCGGATGACAGGTGATGAACAGCTCATCGTCCTCCGGCCGCTCGTCGCTCCACGAGCGCTCAGACTCGGCACGTGCAGACGGTTCCCTACGACGAGGCGGTCGTGGCGGCGGCGATGCAGTGGCTGCTTGAGAAGAGCTGCCAGCCTCAGGCAGAGGAGACGAGGATTCCGGCTCCCCAGACGCCGCGAGCGTGGATGAGCCCTTGCTCTGGCCGCTACGCAGTCGCGACTGCACCGTTTGACGCTTTGGCGAAGAAAAGAGGTTCATCGCGAGAAAAGAAAGCCAGGTGAGATGGGCTGGGAATCTCAATGGTCCGTGAGCTTGATCCCGGCTACAAGCTCTCCCTCGATCCCGCGCAGGCCGTGCCAAGCTTGGCGCTGCTTAGACCGTTGAAGTCGTAATCTGTCGTTGGTAGCCTGGCGTTGCCTTGAGCGCGGTACCTGGGCGTTGAGGTACGGCAAAGATGTGGCGCCGAGGGGGTAATAGCAATCAGGGCGTGCCGACGCGGCGGCGGCGTCGTTGCCGATGAGGATGCGAAGCGATGAGGGGGGGAAGTCGAGCAGGGACAATGAGGAGAAGAGGCGAAGGCTTTCCGTCGAACGAAAGATATGAGTCGCGCTCGTTCAAGCTCTCATCGCTGCTGCACTAGTGAAGATGGTGGGTGATGATGGGTGAGTACGAGAGATGAGATGGGACGAGAAAGGTCGTTGGTGTTAATGGCCCGGGGGCCCGCCCTCCTTCTCCGCCCTTTGCCTTTAGGCTCGGACGTCGCTCGATTCGCGAGTCGAGGCGAGTCGAAAGTAATTGAGGTGGCGTCGCCATGTGGCAGCAGGAGCGGTGCGGGCGGCTAGACTAGCGAGACAGCGGCAAAGACGGGACTCTCGGTCGGCAAGCAGACCACGACCAGCGAGCTCTCTAGTTCATGGTATCAAATTAGCATCGTCGAGATTGTGCCTTGGAGGCTGAGCAGAGGAGGGGCGCTAGTCTACCGCTGGAGAGCAACCTTGGTAAAGATGCCACGACTGAACATGCTCGCAATCGTCTCGAATGGGTCATCGGCCTCATCGAGCTCTTGCAGAAAGCTGTGCGTGCAGAAGGGGTGATGAGAGAGATCCAGCGGGCGGGCGAGCGGGCGTGAGAAGTTGGCGTCAGTGAAGAGGTCTCGCGCGGGAGTCGTGTTCCGATAGCTCTCGTTAGGGCCCTCCGCCCTGTTTCGTACTCACAGATCATGCCTCGAGGCTAGCTCCGCATTGTTGGTCCGAATCTCCCTGATGACGCCGAAGCTGCGTGCGCATGAAGGGCACTCATTCTCCTTTTCACCTAGACACCTCGCGTGATACGAGTGCTTGCACATGAAGTGAACGGCTGGCAGGTCAATCTGCCCACCACACGCATGACATCGGTTGGACTGGAAGACTCGCGGCTCTCCACTCGCCGCTGACAGGTCGGCTATCTCCTTCGTCTTGGCTCGAGCTTCGCCGCGGTACGAAGCAATCAATCTCTCGTCGGCCTCCATCTCGCTAGTCTCCTCTGCGACGGTGCGCTGCAGGAATGACTTGACGAGACCGATGTCTGCGTGAGGACCGCTCTTGCTCAAGAGGTCCACGAGCTCCAATGTGCTCATGATTCGCCTGTCCTCGATGTGTAGGAGCAATGACTCGACATCGCCGCGATGTCGCGACAGCAAGACCGGGTGAGAGACGAGGAAAGAGAGGACGAGCGAGTGCAAAGAGGAGGCCGAGGAGGATGAATCGTCGTCGATGTGACCGTATCGCTTGAGAGCGGCGAGTACTTCTTCTGCCGACTCCGGCGTATCACCTCGCGCTAGCTCCTCGTGAGCACGGTCCATCCACAGGCGAACTACATCCTCGAACATACCCATGCGCTCATAGAGGATGACGACGCCCTGTATGAAACTGGCTTGCTCGCACAGGACAAGAGTGTGGGCAACGTCGTACGGCAGCGTCTTGTGCTGTCGCAGCAGGCGGACCGCCCTGCTATGGTCCTCTTGGTCGCTCGATTGGAGATAGATCTCGAAAAGAGTGTTCCAAATCGACTTTTGCTCTCGGACGTCGTCGTCGTCGTCGTCGTCGTCGTCGTCTTCATTGTTGTCGTCACCAGCCTCCTGCTCATAGGCGCTGCCTGTGGACTCTTCCAAGTCCTCCGGCGCCTCGTCAGCGATTGACTGCGCCCACCGCGCCAGAGCGACAGTCTCCAGGAATCGCCTGAATGACGGCGTGAAGCGCAGGAAGTAAGGGAAGAAGGTGCGGGGTGATGGAATGTCGTATGCAGGGCCCGCGTTCTCTTCCTCAGCTGGCAATTCCTCGTCGACGCCGGGAATGACAAACGGCTTGCCTGACGCGGACTTGACTGATCCGCCCCCTCCTTTCAAGTAGCCCAGAACGCCTGCGCCGTCGTTCTTGGCCGCCGTCTCGCCCCTTGCTGCTGCGCGCGCTGCCTGCTCGATGGCTGCTGTCGAGTTAGAGACTCGCGGTCGGTAGGCCCCGGAGCAAAGCTCGACGAGGAGGTCCGTGGTCGCCTCTTCTGCCTCATCGCCTCCAGCAAGAAGCAACCCTGCGTACAGTCGCAGCTGCGCATCGACATCGGCGGCGTCCCGGGAACGCAGCCAATCGAGTGCCTCTAGCGGCGAGTTGGTGTCCTCGATCTTGATGCGCAGATACTCGGCGCCAAGGTCAAACTTCTTGGCCAGGTATGAGGCTTGCGCAAAGTAGTTGGCTGACCGGCACACTTTAATTGCCGTGGCGAGGTCGAAGGGCAGGCGATCTTGATGCGCCTCGTCATCGACGTCGCTCACTATTGAGCCATAGTCGTCCTCGTCGTCGCCGTCGTCTGCGCCATTGCTGATTACGTGTGAACGGCGGATGAAACGATCCAGAGCCTCGGTGTCACGCATCTTGGTGAAACAGTTGAGCAGGAGTGTCGTATGGTCTGGATTTGCTAGCCCTCTGCGATGTAGCTCTTGTAGGTAGAGAGTGAGAAGCGGGATCCTTTGCGCGTCGAGAAAGCGACGAATGATGTAGCTCTCCCCCAGACTCTTCCTGACGCTGCCCGGCACTCTTCTCGAGCCTGATGCTGCGGTCGCGGGGACCGACTTGAGATAGCCCATCTTCATGCTCCCTTCGTAGTCTCCCTTCTCGTAGAGATGATCGCCATGCTTGATCCAGATCTCGGCAAGAAGGGCATTGAGTTGTGTTGTAGCGTCGGGGCTGTCAGTGTGAGCGCTCGCGAAGTGTGAGCGAGCGACTTGAGCAGCGAGAACAAAGAGGCTGCGACTGTAGAGTAGGTCGAGCTTCTCGCGCAATGGTCGCTCCTCGAGGCGATGCAGATTGTCAGCGTCGGTGAGGACATAGACGTCCTCGCGGCCGTCAAAGGTAGTCGGGTCTGAGAAGACGGCTTGGATAGCGCCTAGCACTGAGCCTTGATATGACAAGAACTTGCCCTGCAGATCGAAGATGGCGACCTCTGTCGTGTCTGGCGCACTGGTCCGAGCAGCTGTCGTCTTTGCCGCGACCGGCGGTGAGAGGATGACTAGCTGCAACGACGCTGGGAGAAGGAAGACTTTTGCTTTCTGGCCCTCGTGTGCGTAGCATGCTTCGCGACCATTCGAGCCGATGACATAGATTGCCTCTGGGCGAGCGATGAGAAGCTTCGACTCTGGCGTCTCGTCTCCCCGAGCTGGGACCAAAGCAGAACAGTCCAGAGGAGCTCCGACGTGATCCAGAGTGATGGCAGGGCTGCCAGCTCCTTTGCCGAGAACAGTATATCTCGTGACCTTGGACAGATTGGCGATGAAGAGGTGCAGCGTAGCCGGCGAGTCGATGGAGGAAAAGGCCAGAGCTGTGACTGGCTCGACTGGTTCCTTTTCAGACGACGAAGCAGGCTGCATGACTACCTTGAACTTGGGCATCGCTGCGGTTGGGGCGTTGGACGGCGCTGCGTCCAGCACAGCCGAGAGATTACGTAGCAGTAGCACAGCACCATTGGAGAGAGAGCAAGCCAGGTAGGTCAAGCCAGGCGTCGAGGCGAGTGCAGCTACGGGGAACGAAGTGCGGCCATGCTGGATACGAGTTTCAGCGAGTAGGCGTGGGCGCCATTGTTTGCTGCGAGGATCTGATACGTCCCAAATGCGCATCAACGGCAGATTGGCATTTGCGCTAGTCCCAGCTGCTCCATCATCTTCACTGAGGAGGATGAAGCGGGAAGAGGCGGTGTCGAAGTGGGCGTGAGTGAGTGAGCCATGAGCGCCAGAGAGCGAGGCGAACGACGACGTGAGCGGGGCGAAGGTCGTCGAATCTACAACAGTGATATCTCCGGACTTGAGTATGACGAGGTAGGGGGCCGTGACAGAGTCCTTGGTTCTCGAATCATCTTGTATGCCCCTCGGCCAGTTTGTGAGCTTCTTGATGGCGAGGATGCGCTGCGAGGCTAATGAAGATGACGGAGCTGAGACGGGCAATGACTGGAAGAAGGGCAGTGACCTCCATGCTGCAGGTGGTTGATCAGCGACGTTGTTGACGGGCATTTCATTGCCGTCAGCCGCTGTCATCGTTGAGCAAAGAGGGGGGAAAGGAAGAGGAGGATCGAGTGAATCGCAGCTGCCTCTGGATGTCGTCCTCGTGCGTCTGTGCGTCGTCGCCGCCGCCCTCGAGCCCGTCGACTCCAGTCCGAAGGCAAGTCGAGACGAAACAGCGGCGGGGGGCGATTTCGAGGGCGGAATGCCAATGCGAAAGTTGCTTTCCTCTCCTCGTCACCACCACATCGTAGTCGCCCTCATCATGGCGGCAGAGATCCTCACAAAGGCACTGCCAAACATCGATCCACCTATCCTATCCTATCTCTCCGACTATATCGACGACCCTACTGCCCACCTCGAGAGCAATCAAGTCATCCTCGACACCGTCTCTTCGCTTCTCACCTCCTTCCTGCGCGCCTCGTATGATACGCCCGATGAGGCACAGGCAAAGGTAGACGAAATCTCCCGCGAGCTAGAGAAGCTGCTACCGGAAGATGCTGGCAATGCAGATGGTGGCGACTTTGCCGCAGACGGACCAATGCGCCTCGAGAATGTCATCGAGATGAGAAAGATTGGCGCACTCAACACGCGAGGTCACAATGTCCTCACTGGTGGCAACATCGACGTCGCAACGGGGTCAGTAGCAAGGGCTACGACCATCGATGTCAAGAAACTAGAGAAGCAGGAGGCAAAGACGAGGGCAAAGCTGCAGAAGAGGGCACAGAGGGACCTCTACGAGTCGTCGGCACTCGTCGACCAGGTAAAGAGGCAAAAGGAGTTGGACAACTACGAAGAGATGTTCACGTCAGTCAACACCCTCGAGACTGTCGGGTCAAAGGGCAAGAACAAAGACATTAATCTGCCTGGAATCGATCTCAACTTCGGTGAGTACGCCTAAAGAGGTGAGATGACATCCTCGAATGGGAGCTGACCACACCACCTTCTCACCCCTCGCCCAGGCTCGCATCGCATTCTCACCAACGCCACCCTTACACTCGCCGCCGGACGTCGCTACGGTCTCATCGGTAGAAACGGTGTGGGCAAGTCGACGCTTCTCAAGCACCTGGCGCTGCGAGATATCCCCGTCCCCAAGCACATCTCGATGCTCTACGTCGAGCAGGAGATGGTGGGAGACGATACGCCTGCTCTACACGCCGTCCTCAAGGCCGACGTCTGGCGAGAGCGCCTGATGCGAGAGGAGGAGGAGCTCAACACAAAGCTCGAAGGCGTCGAAAAGAAGCTCGCAGAGGCCACCTCGGCGACACAGACTGCCGAGGGGGGCCAGACTTCAGAGCTGTCAAAGGGATCCGTCGGCGACATCCATACTCGTCAACTCGAGATTCAAAAGGATGAGCTGGGAGCTCGATTGATGGAGATTCAATCTAAGCTCGTCGAGATGGAGGCCGACACGGGTCCCTCGCGTGCAGCATCTCTCCTCGATGGTCTGGGTTTCCCTTCGGAGGACCAGATGAGGCCTACGGGATCCTTCTCTGGTGGTTGGAGAATGAGATTGGCACTTGCGCGTGCCCTCTTCTGCAAGCCTGACCTCTTGCTCCTCGATGAGCCGTCGAACAACTTGGACCTCAATGCCATTGCCTGGCTCGAAGATTACCTCGTCACGCAGTGGACTGGTACGCTTTTGGTCGTCAGTCACGACCGACAGCTCCTCAACGAGATTGCCACCGACATCATTCATCAACACTCCGAGCGCCTTGACTACTACAAGGGTGAGCACGTGCGGGCGAGTAGGAGGACAACAAGCATGCTGACCCTCTGCGCCCTCCGTAGGCAACTTTGCTCAATTCTACGAGACTCGCCTCGAGCGTCGCAAGAACCAGCAGCGAGAGTACGAAGCCTACGTCATGAAGCGCGACCATCTCCAAGCCTTCATCGACAGATGGCGCGTCAATGCCAACCGCGCCGCTCAGGCACAGTCGAAGATCAAGGAGCTTGAGCGTCTTCAAGTCGTCGAGCCGCCGGAGAAGGAAGATCAAGTGACCTTCAAGCTGCCCGAGGTGGAGCGCCTCAATCCTCCTTTGCTGCTCCTCGACGGCGTCGACTTTGGCTACACGCCTGAGAAGATCTTGCTTCGCGATGTCAACATCGGTGTCACGATGGACTCGCGTATCGCAGTGGTGGGCCCGAACGGTGCAGGCAAATCGACGATGTTGAAGCTGTGAGCAGCGCGCCTACATCCCACGATTGCCCCCAATTGACCCGCATTCCCTCCCCGCTCACAGCCTCTTTGGCGACCTCAAACCCCTCAAGGGCGACCAGAAGCGCAACGGCAAGCTTCGCATCGGCTACTTCACGCAGCACTCGATGGACATGCTCGACCTCAATGCGTCGTCCGTCGGCTTCCTCGCCGCCAAGTATCCAGGCAAGCAGGAGCAGGAATATCGCTCATTCCTCGGCGCCTTTGGTATCACGGGTACCACGGGTCTGCAGAAGATCGCCACGCTCTCCGGAGGTCAAAAGTGCAGGCTGGCCTTGGCGATGCGTGAGTGCCAGTGCGCTGTGACAGAAGAGCTGACTTGGCGTGGCTGACCATGCTCCTCGTCTCGTCTCGTCCTACAGTATCTCTCGCTCGTCCTCACGTTCTTCTCCTCGACGAGCCGACCAACCATTTGGACGTAGAGGGTCTAGATGCGCTCGCCAACGCCATCTCAACGTGGTCGGGCGGAGTTATCAGTATTAGTCACGACGCGCATTTTGTCAACAAGGTCGCGTCCGAGCTGTGGGTAGTCGCGGATTCTAGAGTGGAAAAGTTCCATGGGAACGTGGCGTCGTACAAGGCGATCATCAAGGGCATGTCAAAGCAAATGAGGCCATAGAGGCCGCGGCGGTCGAATGTCATGAGAATGCCTTCGTGCGTGATCAACTCTGACGCGATCGTGAGCTTGCTTTGTCCTTCTGCGCCACTTGTCTGCGCCACTTGTAATAGTACATCTGTGTTCCCCCTCACCGAGTGGCTGCGCGCCCATTGCTGTTGGTGCCACGAGCGTCATCGTCATCATCCGACCAATCCCATCGCTCCAGCTCCTCGTTGCGAGCCGCTGATTTGCGGGTCTGCGGCGAGTGGTCGCCTCTATGCATATCATCGTGGCCGCTGACGAGTCCTTCTTCCTCTTCCTCCTCGTCAATGAAAGAGTCCAGGACCCTGTGTGAGTGCGAAGGTGCGAAGCAGAGGTCAGCTCACAATTGCGATGCACGCTTGCCCGCACACCCACTTCTTGGTCTCATGGTAGATGTACCAGCTCGTCGCAGCCCCAAGCGCAGAAGCTCCCACGACGTAGAAGAGTCGGAACCAGCCGCTCGTGTGGGTGGCTGCCTCACCCCCATCTCGACCTGCTTGAATCGCTTCGAACGTCTGCGCTCCAATGAAGACGTGTAGAAAGAGTTTGGGAGTGGTTGCGAGTGTGGCCAGGACGAAGAAGGGCATAGGGATGACCTCTGGCCGTAGACTGGCGAAGAAGAGGTTCGAGTAGACGAAAGGGAAGGGGCAAAGCTGCGGGGTGCGGGGCGTTGGAGATGGAGTGTGAGCGAGACTGTTGGGCAAAGCAAAGTCATTGGCGCACACCACTCACCCTGATGAGGAGAATCATCTTCCAGCCTTTACGCTCGACTGCCTTCTCCATCGCCTTCCACTCTTTGCCCTGGCGCACTTTGCGTACCCAGCTCCAGTCGGCGCCATGCGTGTCGAGGGCTATGCGACATACGAGGAAGGCAGTGACTGAGCCTAGGAGGCATCCTGATGCTGCAATGAACCATGCATAGCCTAGCGAGTTGCCCGGCGCAGCGAGTGGGGAGCCAAAGGACAGGCCGCACAGAGTGATGACGGTGCCGTAGCCGATCGTGGGCGGGAAGGATAGAAGAATGAGGAGAAGAATGAGGATGAGAGGTCCGAGGGACGACTGAGCAAAGAAGGTCGAGAATTGAGCCAGCCACTCGAGCAAGCCATGAGGACCAAGACGGATGATGACGAGGGTGAATGCAGCATACACGAGGGCAATGAGTCCGACGACTACCTTGGCTCGCGGGCTCAAGGCTCGATAGGCCTCCAACGTCTTGTATGCGTACTGAATGAGGAAAGATGGAAGCTCTGATACCGAGGGTAGCTGGAGAGCCGACCCTCTTGAGCGAGGGCGAGACATCTGAGCGAAGAGCTGTCGAGCTTTGAATAGCTTGACTTGTATTCTATCTCCTTTGCCTTTGCATGGCGAGGGGGCAAATGATGGCGTCCAACGTCAAGAATCGTCGCCGTCCGCGGACCGCGTCGAGGGCAGCGAGCACTCGCTCGGTCAATGCAAAAAGTCTGGGCCCGTGCGTGCGTGCGTGCGCTGTGCTGTGCTGCTCTGCGCTGCTCCTTCTTTCCTTTCTTCCTTTTCCACCACTGCAAATCAAGGACTCCCTGACGGCGCCGAAAGAAGATGGCGAAGGATGCGGCAAAGGTGGAACAGCCTGTAAAGCCGCCGACGATATCACAGCGTGCTCAACCACGCCGTCCTCTGCCCTTCTTGCTCCTCTCCCTCGTCTTCCATCTTCTCCTCACCGTTTCCGTCTTCGACATCTACTTTACCTCGCCCGTCGTACATCCGAGTCGTCGCTTTTCCCTCGCCGATACCTACGATGGCAGTAAAGCTGTACTTCCACCGCCGCCAGCCGATCGCTTGGTACTCATCGTCGGTGATGGCTTGCGCGCAGATACCCTCTACAAGGAGCACCCACCAGAGATGGCTGCAATGACACCTGCTGGAAGCGCAACCTCCGAGCCCTTCTCTGCAGCCCCTCACCTTCTCGACATCTGCCTGCGTCGTGGCGCCTGGGGCGTATCCCACACTCGTGTGCCCACCGAATCTCGACCAGGCCACGTCGCCCTCATCGCTGGCATGTACGAGGACGTCTCGGCCGTCACCAAGGGATGGAAGCTCAATCCCGTCAATTTTGACTCGCTGATGAACGTCTCGACGCACGCCTACACATTTGGCAGCCCAGATATTCTGCCAATGTTTGCTGCAGGGGCGAGCGAGGGCCGCGTAGATATGTGGTCCTACCACGAGGGGGACGAGGACTTCACCAAGGATGCCACGCACCTCGACTTGTGGGTCCTCGATCAGGTGACGCAGCTCTTTGCAAGGGCGAAGAAGGACGAAAACCTCGCGAGAGAGCTGCACCGCCCCGGTGTCGTCTTCTTTCTCCACCTCCTCGGCCTCGATACGACGGGTCACACCTACCGACCTCACTCTTCCGAATACGTGGGAAACCTCGCTGTAGTCGACGGCATCGTGCGGCGAGTCGAGGAGCTCTTTGCCGACTTCTACTCTGGCGAAAACGATCGTACCGCTTGGATCTTCAGCGCTGATCACGGCATGAGCACAAAGGGCAACCACGGCGATGGCGACCCGGACAATACGAGGACGCCGCTTGTAGCTTGGGGGTCAGGGGTCCGAAGTCCTCGTCCAGCGGATGAGGCGCAGATGGATTCGCGTCAGAAGGAGGCGGAGAAGGACACGTATTACGCTGGTTGGCGGGGCCTTGAGTCGTTGTGGCGCCAAGACGTTGATCAGGCCGACATCACAGCGCTCATGGCTACGCTGCTCGGTCTACCTTTGCCTGCCAACTCAGAAGGAGTCTTGCCCCTCGACTACCTAGACCTCGATGCTGAACAGTCGGCACGAGCCATGTTTGCCAACGCACTAGAAATCCTCGAGATCTATCGTGTCAAGCACGAGCAGCGTCGAGCCAGGACAATCCGCTACGTGCCCTTCTCCAAGCTGCCGCCGGTTGGGGACGCAGCGCCAGGGTCAACGCAGGTCAACGACATTCGTACTCTGATCGCAACTGAGCACTACACCGAGGCCGTCGCAGCGTGTCAACGATTGATCAAGCTGTCACTTGAGGGCGCAAACTATCTTCAGACGTACGATTGGCTCCTTCTCGTCACTGTCGTCGCGCTAGGCTACATTGGCTCCGTCCTGTACGGCTTTGCCTTCCTCCTCCGCAACTATGTGCTTGAGACGTCCGCAACAAAGGAGGTGCGCAGCCGCAGCGGTCTCGCCATCGTCGTGCCCATGGTCATCGCCCTGTGCGCCAGATTCGCAGCGGAGAGAGCGCCCATCACCTACTACCTTTACGTCGTCATGACAGGTCTCTACTGGTCCTGGGTTATCGAGGAGCGTCATATCCTCGTGCGTGGCATCTCGCCGCGCTCGTCACGCTCCCTGATTCCACTCGCCGTCTACGCGATCGCGGCACTGGAGCTTATTGCCCTCGGATACAACGTCAGGCTGGCTTGGACTCTGGGTTTCTTCTTCCTTGGCTTCGTCTGGCCTTTCCTTACACTCGACGACGTAGCTAGATCAAAGAATGAGGGGACGATCTTGCTCTGGGGCATCTGCTGTATCGGCTCTGGCCTCTTCTGCCTCTCTGATGTTGACAAGCAAGAGAGCCGAATGCTCCTCGCCCTCTCCGGCGTATTCGTCGCTGCGGCTGGGCTGGCCGTCAGCTCGAAGCCGGAGTGGTTTCTTGGCGGCCCGACTGCACCGCGTGCGCAGCGAGTCATCCAGGGGCAAGTTGCCCTCACGGTCGCTACGACGTGCGTGACGCTCTCCTCGTCATGGCATCTAGAGAACAAGCTGGGTCTACCCCTCATCAACCAGGCGCTGGCATGGCTCTTCCTCCTCACCTCCATGACGCTGCCCTTCGCCTTGGGCTTCCGACGTGGGCAGCCAACAGCACAACGACTGGCCATCATAATATTCGCCTCAGCACCCGCCTTCATCCTCCTCTCCCTGCGCGACGAGGCCCTCTTCTTCCTCTGCTTCACCGCCACGATCCTCGTTTGGGCAAAGATGGAAGGCATCGTGCTCGAGGAACGATTCATTGCGGAGAGGAAAGCTGGCAAGGCCAAGCCCTCACTACCACGCCCACTCAATCTGTACGACGTCTTTCCCTCACTCACCCTCCTTTTCCTCCTCCACGCCGCCTTCTTCGGCACGGGCAACGTAGCGTCCATTTCCTCCTTCTACCTCAAACCAGTGTACCGCCTTGTGCCCGTCTTTTCACCTTTCCTCATGGCCGCCCTCCTCATTGCCAAGATCCTCGTCCCCTTTGTCGTCCTTGCCTCGGTTCTTCAGGTTATGTGCAAGCGCAAGGTCAGCAAACGCGTCACGCACCCGGAGACGGCCTACATCGAGCCGGGCCGCTCCAAGGCCTCGATAGAGCTGGAAGGCCCACCCTTGCTGGGCCCGAACAGTGTCGGTGGGCTGCACCTAATTTCCTCCTCGTCGGTCCCACTACTCCTCGCATCGAGCCTCTGCGCAGACCTGCTAGCATTGCATTTCCTCTTTCACGTCAAGAATCAGGGCGGTAGCTGGCTCGAGATCGGGCAGAGCATCACGCATTTCGTCATGGCGAATCTGCTGCAGTGAGTTGAAGTGAGGCGAAGCGATGGGATAAAACAAGGGGAGAAGAAGTAAGAATGTGCTACTGACCCCACCGCGCCCTCCTCTGGCGTCCCTCTAGAGTCTTCATGTTCGGCATCAGCGTCGTAGCAGGATGGGCGCTGGGAGAAGGGTGACGTGAAGGCTTGCGCCGCCGTGACTTTAAAACTTAATGCCACCTGCACTGTCCCTCCTGCCTTCCAAGATGTCATTGGCCCCACCTCCGCCTTGCATGCCCGCAGAGAACTTCCTCATCGCGCTCCCAATGGCAGCCATGCCGTCGTCGCCCTCCTCCTCCTCCTCTTCGCTCTCCTCCCCATCGTTGAATCCGCCGCCGCCGCCGCCATTGACGGCCAAGCCTTGCTGCTGCGCTGACGGGTGATGCTCATCGCCAAAGTACTCGTAGTACTCGTACGCCGCATCGTGTTCCCCGTCCTCGGGCGCGTGCCCGTGCCCGTGCCCGTGTTCGATCTCATCGTCATCGAAGTGAGCAGCAGACGTGGGCAGCTCGTCGATGGGTCGCTCGTCCTCGCTGACTGGGTGGCTGCCCAAATCCATGGCGTGCAGCTGTGCGTCCAGAGGGGGCAAGTTCCCTCCGCGAGCAAAGGGTGAAGAAACGACGGACGAGGGAGGCGAGGAAGACGGCAGCGACTCGGCCGTCGTCCGCGCACTGGCAAGCGAATCCGTCGTCGTCGTCGTCGCCGCCTCCTCGAATCCTCCGTCGAGCCTCGCCGACTCTCGTCGCGCTTCAGCTTGTGCCGTGTGCCGGGGATCCTCGCGCGTCAAGGGGGAGCGCACCACCGAGCCGGATTGGGCTCGTGTCTTCTTTGCGCCCGTCTTGAAGGAGCGCTTCGACCTGACTATCGGGCCACTGCCACCCGCGCCTCCGCTACCCGCACTCGCGCCCGCTGAGTTGGACGAGGAAGACGAGCGCACAGATGAAACTGATGCGCGATTGAGCAGAGGCGGGGGAGGTGCCGGTGGATCGTGCAATTGAGTGGGCTGGATGTTTGGCTCGACGAGGGAGACGGGCTCGTCGACGAGGGTGTAGATCTTGCGCTCGGCGGGCATGATTGGGGTGATCGCCTCGTCGCGGTGTCGTGGCCCTTCGTCTCCGTCGGGGCGCGGTGAGGTGTCGATGCTTGTTGGGGAGGGATCAGCCTCTGCGCCGCTCGAAGATGTTACGACTTCCCCTAGCCCAGATGTGCGACGCGCAGCTCGTCTTGCTGCGTGCCTTGATGCAGTACTGCGTGCACTGCCGCTAGAGAGGACACCACTCTCAAGAGTCGGAGAGCCGGGGGTGCTTTCGTTGATCTGCGAGAACTGCGATGATCTGCGGCGGTGCGAAGAGGGAGCTGTCGTTGTCGAGGCGGCCATGGGACGTCGCAGTACGCTTCTACCTTCGGTCGGCACGAGAGGCACATCTGAGCTAGACGAGATGGACCCGAAGGCCGGTCGTTGCAGTTGGCGACGGTCGCTTTCAACAACTGCGCTCACATCGGGCGCCTCCTCGACGTCTTTCGACGGTCGCCCAAAGGCACCGGCAGTGACTGTCCCTGGCGTAGCGGAGGCGGTGCGAGGGGCAGTCGTGCCATTCTCGCCTCGCAGGGCACGCCCAGGGGCTGGAGCCGTCTCACCTGCTGCTCTCAAGCTAGGCAACTTAGGCAAGACGCCCTCGGTTTGCAATGCGGCTTGAAGTGACGTTGACGTAGCCAAGGTAGGTGCAGTGTCTGTGCGGCCGTCTTGCGTGACTGTGGGCGTGTTACGCTGCGGCCCATGATCGTCAGCATCGCCGCGCTCGCTGCTGCCGTCCTCAAGACTCTTGTGTGTCTTGCCCGGCGTGGCCAGCAGATCGACAATGCTCGAGTCGCCATCGACGCTTTCGTCAGGCCGGCCAGAGTCGATGGAAGAGTCGCCAATGCGCGGGCGGTGCGGGCGACGAGCGCCTATGCCGATCTGACCGCGAGGCGTGTAGGGGGATCCGCTACCTGCTAGCGGTCCATTCCTGACGATCTTGGAGGGTGGCGGTGGAGTGTGATGCGCTTCCTCATTACCATTGGTCGAGACGGCTGCGCGAGCTGAGCCAGCGAGAAGAAGAGGCTTGGGTCCAGCCCCCCTCGGCGTGCCGTTGCCCGCTGCAGATCCCGTCGAGCTCGCGGATGATGACATAGAGGAGGACGTCATAGTCGCAACAGCCGATATGCTTGGGGAGCGATCGCTGCTTCGCGACCCTGCGCTCGTTGGAAAGCGCCACTCCTCTGGTATGCTCGCTACCCCACGACGTTGTGTGCGATCATGCACCGGGCTGACTCCTCCCATGCTACCAAAGCCCAGCCCGGCCATCATCATGCTCGCCGGCCTCACGTAGGCGTACTCTGTCCTTCCATCTGGCGAGTCCATGACGTCAGGCAGTGGGAAATTGGGCAACCCCTCGCCGTTGCCTGCGCTTCGATCGGTATCTTGGCTCCACTGCAAGACGGCAGGATGCTGATAGCGTGGCGTCGATGAGGTGGAGAAGGCTCGGTCCTTTGTCGTTGCTCCATTGCCTCGCATCCATGCAGCGCCGGCTGAGCTTAGCGAGGCAAGGCGGCTGGAGATGGTCGACTGAATGGCGCTGCTGCTAGCACTCGTCGTACTAGCACTGGGGCTCGGAGGTTGTGGCGGAGCGACTGACTCGCTGGCGCTGCGGCGTGCTTGCGACCACTTGTCCATTGCGCACGCTTGCCAATTGGAGCCGACTTTGCTGAGCTCTGCTGCAGCGTCGCTGGCCTGGAAGCGGTGCAAGAGTGAGGACGGTGGCACAGATGCCTGGCGTGTCGCAGCTTGGGAGTCACGGGTCCCTGATACGCTGCGAAGCCAGCCGCCCTTTGTAGATGACGTCGGTGGGGCACTGTTGCTGCCACTGGCTAAGCGACTGAATGCACCGAAAGTCCTCTGCCCCATCGTCTCGCTGCTCGTGATCATCTCCTCTTCGTCGTCTGGTGGCGCGTCTTCGCCTGTCAAGGCAGATGCGATGCGCTTCTGCCTCAGCATGCTGGCCATCTCTAGCACCGGTCCAATATCGTCATCTCGGTCAGGGAGATCTTGAAGGAAGCTCATGCAGCTCGAAAATATTTCCTCCGAGGCAAATCGCTCCACATCGCCCTCTTCAGCTTCCTGCTGCGCCTTTACCTGCGCGGCCTTGACCAAATCGAGGAGGCTGTTGCGGTGGCAGACGAGGAGCGAGGTCATGACGTCGAGGAGGAAGTCGACGCGCTGTGAATGTGATGGGCGACTTGATTTCCCTGCGCTACCCTCGCCCGCTTCGCAGAGGATGACGTCCCAGACCTTGACGACGGAGGGGAGGGGCAGTGAAGTGGAGAGTAACGTCGCGAGCCAGCGGAAGGAGTAGTAGGGGATCGACGGGCTGAGACCATTGTTGTAGAGGTGAGTCCAGAGCTCCTCGTCTGCCCATCTCAATCGTCCGCCTAGACTGCGCAGCGCTCTGGCCATGCCGCCGAGGGTGACAGCTGTGGGTGCGCCGGGCGATTGGCGAGGATTGCGTATGCGCAGACCTGCCCTGGTATCGTCGAGCCCTTCAAAGTCCCACAGCTCTCGCAGCTCGCCGAGTAGCAGCGAAAAGCACCAGAATGCGTCTGCTTCAAAGTGGGTGTTGCTCTCCGCGGGTGAATCCGTTTCGGTAGGCAGTCCCGTAGCTGAGCCGATGGTCCAGACTACCACGGATGCGACTTCTACCATGCCCTGGACATAGCCTACGCTAGGATTGAGCAACGCGTAGAGGAAGAGGATGCGGAGGATAGCATCGCTGCGTGGTTCGTCCTGCGATTCGCTCTCGCCGTCGCGCCCCTCGACGTGACCCAGAGCGGTGAGGCGTTGTCGTAGGGCCTTGCGCTTAGGCAGCCTCTTGACGGCGGGCGTATCGCTAGATGGTGGCAGTGGAGCTAGCGGGCACGAAGCGCTTGGTGGCACACGTTGACGAAAGAAGGAGAATGACTGGGCGAATCGCGATCGGACGAGGTCGAGGTGGATCTGAGTGATGAGGGCGTCGTAGCGGGATGCGCCGCGTGATGAGCTGCTCTCAGCGTCGGTAGCTGGCAACAAGTCACTGAGCAGCTCATAGTATTCCTGCCTCTTCTTTGCCTCTTCTCTCGGCCACTCCTTCTTGTCGTTGCCCAAGAAGCCCAGGAGGACCTTCCAGCCCTGAGCGCGAAGCCATGATGGTGAGTCTGGCAGTCCAGTGCGAGATAGGATGAGATGGCGCAGAGAGTAGTGGTCGATGCAGGCGTGCGATGGTAGCAGATCGGTAGGCGAAAGGAGCGATGAGATGAGCGAGGATGGCGGTGGTGTTGGATCGAGGTGGGACATTGTTCGCAGCAGCGCAGCGTCGCTCTCTCAAACGGAGTGTTGGTTCTCAGGCCGCCGGATGGGATCGTCGGCGGCCGGTGGTCATTTGCAGTCTGGCGTGAGCAGAGAATGCGTGAGGGTAGTCGCGCGTGTGTGTGTATTCGATGGCGTAACTGCGCTTTAGATGAGATGAGGTGCCGTGGGTCGAGAATGGGCCAATTTCAAGGTACAGAGAGAGCAAAGGAAGAAGCAACCGAGCGACGCTTGACTGGCCGAGCGGAGCGAGTTGAGTCGAGCGCGACGCACGGTGGGGTCCATCCGGCCGGCGGAACAGAGGCGGTGTAAGGGCAAGGCAGTAGCAGCAAGCCAAGCACGGCGAGACCAGCATGATCCGTGTTTCAGACAGCAACGACTTCCGTCATGACTTTGCAAGCAACGCATTTGCCAGTGCCATGAACGCAGAAGGGGATGCCAGCGACGGCGGCGAGGAAGTCGTGCGGGTAGGGGCCACCCGCACACAGTGCATTGTATCTGTTTACTTTCGCCGTTTTTCCCATTCGGGCGTGTGGCGCAGCGGTAGCGCGCTTCGTTTGCATGTATGCAAAGTCACGATTGTCTCGATCGCTCTCCGAAGAGGTCTTGGGTTCGAACCCCAACTCGTCCACTCTTTTGCTACGGCCGAAGCCACCAGGACATGCCATGCTCAGTCTCACCCTTCGGGTTCGTCCAACCCTCAACCTGGATGGACAACAACACGCACGACAATCACAGCGATGCTCAAACATCGAAAGAATGGCTTTGCAATTGGGCTCTCAGCGTCCAGCGACGGCCGTGCCAACAGGGAGACAGAAAAGTTACGAGATTCGCACCAGCCCAATAAGGTGAAGCGCGAGATGGCCTCTACATCATCCGGGACAAATCCGAAGGTAGTGAGGGACACCTTAGCCCACATTGTCGTTGGCATATGCTGGGTGCTAGGCCGCCCAACATCGGGGGTATTCAAGACCTCTAGCAGCAACGACAACGGCTTCGGCGGAGCGACACAGCGCACGACGGCTCGGCGGCATGCTTGCTAGGCGCCCCTTACTCTTTCCTGTGTTGTTGCTCCAGCCATGTGATGGTGCTTGTCGTTACCGTGGTGCTGGCGTATCGAAAACGTGCGGGATTCAGTTGAGGAGCTGAGGACAGCCATTGTGTTGAGTTGACGCGACCTTGTCGGACTGGCCGTGACCTTCCTCTGTCCTTCACGACGGCATCGTTGACGTTTCCCCACGGCACGCTCTGACACTCGAGCGCTGATTCGTCGCGCTCCAATGTCTCATCGGATCACGCGGCGTTGCGTGAGAAGTCCTGCAAGTTGTCACGCCCGCAGAATGGTGATATGGCGACAAAAACGTCCAAGTGCGGCGCAGCGACGGTGGTGGTGTTTCGCGATGGCCCATGTCGCATCAGTCCCATGTCGCTCTGCTCGGTGTCTGCGGCTCCATAGCACCCTAGAGGGGCTATGACAACGTCGAAGACTTACTGGAGAAATTCAATTTGACGCTAGCCGCACCATGGCAGCGTGCGCTGCTGCGGGACTTTGTTTCCCTAGCTTGAACCTTGCCCACTTGCCTGCCCGCCTCCACCTCGCCTTCCGCCCTTTCCCCTTCCCAACAACTCAATTGAGATCTTCTTGCCTCACACTCCGCAAGAATGGCCCAAATGACCCTCACCAACCAGCTACTCACCAATCTGCGCAACCAGCTGCACCCCTCGCTGAGCAAAGCTGGCTCATCTATAGCAGGTCGCGCGGGCGGCGGGGACGAGTGGTACCTCGTCCTGGGTTCGGCGTTCGCGTCTGCGCACAAGGGGGCAGAAGCGTTGCCCCTGTTGTACGATATGGCGGTACAGGGTGGGGAAGACGGAGTGAGGGTGCAGAGGAGGTTGAAGGAGACGGTGCTCAAGGTGCGGTAGCGCGGCAGTCATGAGAGCGATGACCACGGCTGAACGCGTGATTGTTCCTTCGCCCGCCCTCGCGAACAGGGCTCCGTTCTGTACGGGATCCCCTCAACGCTGGAGTCATCCTTCGCCCTCGTAGCTCACCTGCGCAAGATTGGCGCTTCGACGGATGGAGGCTTCTTCTTACGCCGCGATCAGGATATCGCGAATGTAGAGGAGAGGGGCAACAAGCGGCTCGCAGACGTGTACCAGTGAGTCGCTGCGTGCGATTAGCGCCATGCTGCGTCGTAGCTGAGATGTGGCGTTTTGGCCCGGGTCGCAAAGACACAACTTCCCGGACATTCAGGCCAAGTTTGGCAATGATATGGAGGACATCAAGATGATCACTATGCCGGTGAGCGCGAGCGAGAACGCGAGCGTGCGATGAAGCTTGAACTGACACGCGCCCGCGCTCTGCCAGGTCAATTACGGTCTCATCCTCTCAGAGGACACGATCCTCGACTTTCCCTCCACGGAGCTGGTCATTCTCTCGGCACTCGTGCCCCAGAATCTTCGGTGAGCGTGCGCTCCCTCTTCTCTCTCTCTCTCTATGCCACAAGATTGTCTGACGTAGTCTTCTGCCCGCGTGCACAGCGCCGAAACTCTTTGGCACCTCCGTGGCTGCCGCCGAGCGGGGTGGAGCGACGAGGTCATTTCGTCTGTGAGGGATGTCAGTATACGGGTGGCCGAGATGGCCGGTCGACCGACGAACAAGGTGCCTACGCTGGACGAGGTCAGCGAGACGAAGAACGAGTGACGACGAGTGACGAGTGATGACGATATAAATCCATTGCGTAGCATACAATGGCACGCTTTACTCGCTGAGCAGATCCTTGACCGCCTCGTACTGTTCTGACTCGAGCTTTTCTGCGAGCTCCTCGCTGGTGAGCCAAGCGTATTCGCTTGATGCGGCGGCCTTGTCTGGTGAGCCGGAGAGGAGATGCGCGCGAATGTAGTACGTCTGCGGGCGGTGCGAGAGAAGATATGGGTGAGCTTTGAGCATAGTCGCTGCGTACTCGACGTGCCTCGCCTCACCTTCTCTTGCATCTTGATATCCTTGCCGCTGTCGGGCCTGGGCCACATCCCCACGGGCAAGTGACTGACCATCCACGCATCCATCTTCTCTGCGCTGACCTCGCCCAGATTCTCCTCCAACGGTCGCAGCGCTACTTTGTGGAGCGTCTCTCCTGCGTCGAGGTCTACTCGAGTGCGGGGCAACTTCCACGGCGCTGATCCCTTTTGTCTGAAGGCGAGGAAGAGGGAACGGTCTAGAGCGCGATGCAGAGATGAGGTGTCGTTGCTCTCATCCGCCTGAGTACGCCGCGGTGTCGCTGATGGGTCCAATGACAGCTCTGGCACACTCTTTGCCGACGCCACATCGTCGATCGTCTTTCTCCTCGCTGCCTCCTCCTCATCGAAGCGAGTCTCTGCTGCTGACCCTTTGCGGAAGTAAAAGTCCTTGCTAAAAGGCTGGGCAAGTCTGCGTTGCAGTAGGTGATTATAGTGGAAGTAGGCTGCCTCGAGTGGTGTGGGGTCCCTTGTGATGACTGGCTGGCGAGAGAGGAGGAGGGAGACGAAGATGGATTGCGCTCGTACCGAGGGGGCTGAAGAGGTGGGCGTTGTCACTGATTCGGCGGGAGGCTGGGGTGAGACGGTGGATGATGTTGATTGAGTGGTGGTGGATGCATAGCGAGGGCTACTTATCGCCGCTTTCAGCGCGCTTCTGCTGCTGCTACTCCTCGACGATGATGCTACGAGGGATGCCATGTCGTCGTCGTCTGTCGTTGATGATGATGGTGCAAAGGTCAAAATAATTCCTGCGCGCGAGGTCGCGGGGCGGACAGAGACGGAGACGGAGAGCGACGTCGATGAGGCGACTGCTTGCTTGGCTTGGCCTGCGTTGCGTTGCGTTGCGTGGGCGGGCCGTCGAGTCGACTCGACTGGGGACCGTGCGACTGGCCCTGTGCGGCCCCCTGACGACGACGAGGGCGAGTGCGAGTGCGAGTGCGAGTGCGAGTGCGAGTGCGAAAGCGACTGGCTGCTCCACTCTGGCTGTGGCTCTGCCTCTCTGACCATCACTCCCATCTCATCACCACCATCACCACCATGTCGGGCGCAAACAAGAACGAGGAGCGCATCCCCACACCACCGCCCGTCCCCGTCGACTCAGCATGGCTCGACTCACTCACCAGTCGCATCCGCTCGCGTCCCATCCCCTGGGAAGGATACGCAAGGGCCGACCTCGTCTCGCAGGATGAGCTAAAGATGATTCGATCCGTCGACGCAAAGGACGGCAAAGAGGTGGACAAGATACTGCAAGAAAAGGGAGAGCAGTATGCTATTCTGTATTTGAGGCTACTCAGCAAGCTCAGCAGGACTGATACGCTCCAACAGGTCCTCGTCCTCATCGCTGATATGCTCGAGGCAAACCAGGATCGCATCGCACTCTTCTTTAAAGCGGCAAAGAGCGTCAATGAGATGGAAAAGGAGGTCGGACAGCAGACGGATAAGAAGCAGGCTTGGCCTTGGGCCCCCGTTGTGCGGTGAGTCAGCAATGAAGAGGCAGAAGTAGCATACATTCAGCTGATCCACGTCCATGCTGACCTATCCACCAATTTCCTCGCCCACAGCCTCCTCGACGTCAACGATGACTTTGTCCAGATTCGCGCAGCGCACTTTCTGGCCACTCTCCTCGTAGCACCGGGATCTACCGCATCATCGGCACCATCGCACGTCCTGCCTCGCCTCCTGTCCTTCCTCGCCACCAGCATCAATGGCAGCTCAGGATCCACGCCTGCATCAGCCGCTCTCCAGACTGAGCAGTCCCCCTCGACCTTTGCCGATGGAAATGGTGCCGATATTGCCATTCAGCTCCTTGAGGGATTGCTCAAGAGTCGCTCGTTCAGGCGCGCAGTCTGGGATGACGAGATGAAGAAGCAGGCTACCGTTCCGCAGTCAGCCAGCAAGGACATCAAGGATGATGACGACCAGGAGCAGCAGCATGCGGGCCAGACGCCTGGACTTCTCCGCGGACTCGTCTACATCCTCCAAAATGCCGTCGTCGCGCCCGGTGGAACGCAGGACAGACGCGAGCAAGAGGAGAATGGCAACAAGAAGCCCAATAACCGCGAGGGACAGAGCGAGAATGGCAATCGCCAGGAGCAGCAGCAATCCAGCTCCGGATCCGGTTCCGGCTCCGGCCCTTCCTCCTCATCATCGTCATCGCAGCAGCAGCAGCAGCAGCAGCAGCGCCCTCCCTCCTCAGCTGTATCCGCCCAACTGCAATATCGCGTCCTCCTCAACTTCTGGCTCCTCTCCTTCTCCCCCTCCATCGCCTCGGAGCTCAACCGGAAATTCTCCCTAGTCCCACTGCTGGTAGATGCCCTGCGCGGAGCAGTCAAGGAAAAGGTGATGCGAGTGTGCGTGGCCACCCTCGCCAACCTACTGGCAAAGGCGCCAGACGCCAACGCGAGCTCCATGCTCGGCTCAGGGCTCCTACCCCACGTCGAGCACATGGCAGACAAGTATCGCCGTATCGACAGCGGAGGATCAGCTGGGGCTACCCAGTCTGGCGGTGGTGACGAGGAGGTGTGCGAGGATGTCGAGTACCTGGCCAAGGAGCTGCGTGAGCGATGGAACGGGATGAGCAACTTTGATGCTTATTTGAGCGAGCTGGAGAGCGGCAAGTTGACATGGAACAATCCGGCGCACGAGTTGGAGGACTTTTGGCGAGAGAATGCTCAGCGTATGCTCGAGAAGACGGATAAGCTTACGGCGGGGGAGCAGGATGGTGAGCAGGAGGAGGGCAAAGGCGGCGAGGGCGGCGAGGGCGGCGAGGGCGGCGAGGAGGGAGAGGGCGACGATGATAACGCAGCTCTGCGCCGCGCACCCAACACACCCCTGAAGCGCCTCCTCGTCCTCCTTTCGACGTCACAAGACGCCACGACGCTCGCTGTGGCGTGCAATGACCTGGGCAAAATTGTCCAGTTCACAGACGTCGGTGGGACGGCGGATTCGGCCAACAAGCAGCAGCAGCAGTCGCAGCCCGGAGGCGGCGGTGAGAAGAAGGCTGCGGGGGGTACGGGAGCGGGACGCAAGCGGATCAACGAGTACGGTGGCAAAGTGGCCATCATGCGTCTCATGGGCGGGCATGATGATGCAGAGGTAAGATACAGGGCCTTGCAAACCGTCGGGAGGTTGATGAGCGCCAGCTGGAGGTGAGCATGCTGTGGCGGCTCCATCGGAATTCGTGTCCTGTTTTGATTTCCATCTTTGCACATCCCAATGTCGATATACATGCTCTCGCGCCACGCCAGGCTGCTCAAAACTTGACCTTCTCCCCACGCACGTCCTTGACCTTGCACGCCCACGTCTTCTCGGAAAAGACTCCGCCCATGTACACGACCTTGTCGACCTCATCAACGGCCGCCCCAGTGATCCCGCTCGGACTCTCCGGATCAGTCGAATCGTCCTCGACTACACGTGCTACCCTATACTTCTCACCAAAGAAGGCCTCCCTATCCTTTCGAGGATCATTGAGTTCCACCCTCCCTACAAGTGCGGGGCTACCATACTCTCGTGGGGACTTGAAGTGCTTGCTGGTCAGTTGGAGCGCGTTGGGGAACCAGGCGAAATAAGCTGCATGAGAGACGGGTGAGACATAGACGTTGTCCGATGCCAAGGGGATGTCGATCGAGTCGAGGAGGGAGAGGGTGTGGTCCGTCTGTGGTTGGAGGACGAGGTGGGCTGAGGAGGCCGTTTGGGAGAGGTAGTAGGTGCGGGGGAGGGTGGGGTCTTTGCGATTTGCGTGAGAGGCGATGCCGTTTGCGTCTGGCGGAGTGAGGTGGAAGGGAAAAGATTTAGCTTCTGGAGCAAGAGAGCGGCACTAGATGTATCTCGTGACTCGAGCCGCGCACTCACAATGCGCCTTCTTGAGTGCAACTTTGCATCCTTCGGCCTCACTACCGCAGTAGACGACGTCGGTGAGGGGCAGGAGCAGGTCCAACTCCTTCCTCCACCCAGTCTTGACATGGTGGTCATTGGTGACATAGAAGCTATCCGGCCCATCAGGCTCTACATCGTTTGGCGTGCGCACGAGTGGGTGAGCAACAGTCCTGACGTGGTGCGCCACGTCTGATCCCAGGGTAGTCTCGAAGATCTCGATCGTCGAGTTGAAACCATTGACTGCCGGGTTGTCGACCAGTGTCGGACCGCCTGGAGCCGCATAGTCGATGGAGGGGCGGTGGTTGACGAGGAAGAGGCGAATTGTCTCGGTGTCAGATGATGATGTAGGGTCTTGCCATACGCCGAAGCCGTGCGATGTGAAGGATCCTGTGCGCGCAAGAAGACAGTTGTGAGCTGAGATGAGGGAGCACTATCCCACATTGAGCGCGCCGCTCACCCTCTCCAAAGAGACCATGAAACCCATCCAGCCTAACCCTCGTCGTCTTCTCTTCCCACGTTCCCCCCTTCCTCGTATCCACAACAGCAAGATAGTCCTCACTGCTGCGGCCCTGCGCATCCCACGAATCCGTACAAGGGAACCAAGTCTTCCTCGCCTCGGGGGTGCCCGCACACGCTGCATACAGAAGGCCTGTGGGTTGGTCGATCCAGAGTTGTTCGCACGTCCTCAGGGTGGGGATCACGGAGCACGCATCGTTTTGGTGGTCGCCAAAGGGTTTCGGGTAGAAGAGGCGGACGACGGGGGAGACGGTGGGGTAGATGGCTGCTAGACCTACGGCGGTCAGGATGCCAAAGAGGGCGGGGAGGGGGAGGGGAGCCATGTCGATGAGATGTGAGCTGGTGGAGAGAGAAGGAGCAAAGGGAGGAGGAGGAGCAAGTGGAAGGAAGCAGACGCAGACGCAGACGCAGACGCACGTCGAAGCGGGCCAGCGGGTGCGGGGTCCCGCGCTTCGTCTCTCTGGTCTGCCTCCACGCGATGCGATGCAGCGACGCACGGACGCACGGACGCGCAAGCAAAAGAGGTGCCAAAGGAGGAACGTCTACGGTGATTTCGTGTCACGCCCGTTCCACCTTCCACTCGAGGGACGCACCAACACACAGCTACACAGTGTATCGTCATTAAGCTCTATGACCATAGAAATATGAGTCGCCAGAGAAAGGAATTCGACACCTCACTGGCCCTCCTCTTTTTCTCCCAGCAGTGAAGGGATGAACTGCTAAGCGCACCTCCGGCTTCAATGGATCTGTAGTGAGGGTACTGGTTTCGACGAAGAATGCGTTCCCTCCTCCCTGCTGGCATACTCAGGTCGTGGGCTGATCAAATCAGGCCGAGTTGAGCAGGAAGCGCCCATTGAGGTTAGTGAAACTTCGATCTTGCACGGTCACAATGCTCAATCTGACTTGCGTTAAACTTTTCTTCAATTTCCGAAACAAGACAAACACGACAGCGAACCGCAAGAGAAACACGACTCGGAACCACCTCTTCCGTCTATCCTCTACATCTCCTCAACTCAAGCCGCCTGCGCAGCAATCGCCTTTCCCGTAGGCGCCCCGGCCTTGTATGCGGCCCAGGAACGTTGAGGAATACCACCAGCCCACGGCAGCCTAGTATTTCCCTGCAAATGCTTGTCCAGCGACGCAGCCAGGCGGCGGCCCTCCGAGATAGCCCAAACCACGAGACTCTGTCCACGACGTGCATCGCCACAAGCCCATACGCGGTCCAGGTTCGTCTGGAATGCTCGTGGACCATCAAATGGTGCAGCAATGTTCGACCTTCCGTCGAGGTCGAGACCTGGGAGGTGGCATTCGGGAGTGGGGCCCAAAAAGCCCATGGCGAGGAGACAAATGTTGCATGGGATCTCTTCCTCAGAGCCTTCAATGAGTCCCATGTTCCACTTGCCACTCTTGTCCTTCTGCCAGTCAACACGAGCAATCTTCAGAGCCACCAGCTTGCCCTCAGCATCCTTGACGAACTCCTTCGTCGTGGTGCAGTAACGCCTCGGGTCCTTACCGAAGCGGTCCGTCACCTCCGTGTGACCATAGTCGGTACGGAAGATGCGGGCGTACTGAGGCCAAGGGTTGTCACGAGCGCGAGCCTCGGGAGGTTGAGGGAGGAGCTCGAGGTTGGTGACCGACGCAGCGCCCATGCGGACCGAGGTGCCGATACAGTCGTTGCCCGTGTCACCACCACCGATGACGACTACGTGCTTGCCTGCCGGGTTGAGACCGGCCATGTGCTCGTTGATGGCAGCGTCGGTGAGGCCCTTGTCGACGCACTTGGTCGCAGAGGTGAGGTAGGACATGGCAAAGGCGACGCCGTCTGCATCGCGGCCGGGGAGCTTGAGGTCGCGCGGCCAGGTGGCACCCGTGGCAAAGACGACGGCATCGTTCTGCTGGTGCAGCTGGGCGGCGTCGAGGTCCTTGCCGACTTCGACGGACGTGACGAATTGGACGCCCTCGTCAGCCATGAGCTGGACACGGCGAGCGACGACGTTCTTGTCGAGCTTCATATTGGGGATACCGTAGTAGAGGAGGCCACCAATCTTGTCGGCGCGCTCGTAGACGGTGACCGAGTGGCCAGCGCGGTTGAGCTGGTCAGCGGCAGAGAGACCGGCGGGGCCAGAGCCAATGATGGCGACCGTCTTGCCCGTGCGAACCTGAGGGGGGCGAGGGACCATCCAGCCCATCTCCCATCCCTTGTCGATGATGGCGCACTCGATCGACTTGATACCAACGGGCTGCTCGATGATGCCAAGGACGCAAGCAGATTCGCAGGGAGCGGGGCAGACGCGACCAGTGAACTCGGGGAAGTTGTTGGTAAGGAGCAGCTTGTTGAGAGCGTCCTGCCACTGACCCTTGAAGACGAGGTCGTTCCACTTGGGGATGACATTTGAGATGGGGCAGCCCGTGTCGGACTGGCAGAACGGCACACCACAATCCATGCAGCGCGACGTCTGCTGCTTGAGCTCGTTCTCGGTGAGACGAGTGGAGAGCTCCTTGAAGTCCTTGACGCGCTTGGCCGGGTTGCGGTAGTGCTCTGCAAGACGGCGGTACTTGATGAAGCCGCGCGACTTGTCGAGCTTGCCCATGCGAGCCTTGGCCGTCTCATCGTCGACCATCGAGTCCTCGAGGTCCAAAACAGCAGGCTCAGCCTTGTCGCGCACGTTGCCAGAGCCGACGTCAATGTCAGACGCCTTGTCGTCGTCCTTGAGCGAGACGTCGACCTGCGAGCCGTGGCGCGAGAGCGTGCCAAGGAGGTCGACGTGGCTGTTGCGCTTCTTCTCGGCGGCGGCCTTGGCGGCCTCCTCCTCGAGGACACGCTTGTAGTCAACGGGCATGACGCGGACGAAGCGGGGCAGGAGGTGGGCAAAGTCGCGCAGCACGGCCGCAGCGACCGAGGAGTCGGTGTAGTGGCGGTGATTCTCGATGAGGTTGCGCAGCTCTGCAATCTCGGCGGGGTCCTTGATGGGGCCAAGCTCGACCGTCTCCGGGTTGCACTTGTACGAAAAGTCGCGGTGCATGTCGAGAACGTAGGCGATACCTCCGGACATACCGGCGGCAAAGTTGCGACCAGTAGGGCCGAGAATGACGACTCGTCCGCCCGTCATGTACTCACAGCCGTGGTCACCGACACCCTCGACGACGGCATGGGCACCCGAGTTGCGGACAGCGAAGCGCTCGGCGGCGATACCATTGAAGTAGGCATTGCCCGAGGTGGCACCGTAGAGGCAGACGTTGCCGACGATGATGTTCTCCGAAGCCTTGAATGCCGAGCCCTTTGGCGGGTAGACGATGATGCGGCCGCCAGACATGCCCTTGCCGACGTAGTCGTTGGCGTCGCCCTCGAGCTCGATGGTGATGCCGGGGGCCAAGAAGGCACCGAGCGACTGACCAGCGCTGCCCTTGGCGTTGACGTGGATCGTGTCGCGGTTGAGACCCTCCTCGCCGTAGAGCTTCGAGACCTTGTACGAGAGCGTGGCTCCGAGAGCGCGGTCGGTGTTGACGACCTCGCAGTCGATCTGCACGGGCAGGCCCTCGGTGAGAGCGGGCTCGGCCTCCTCGATGAGCTTGTTGTCAAGTCGAGTGTACAGACGGTGGTCCTGCTGGCGCATCTTGAACGTAGCAGCGCCAGGGCGCATCTTGTGAGCGGGCTTGAGCAGGGGCGACAGATCGATGGACTGCATCTTGGGCGACATGGCGACCTTGGTGTTCTTCTTGAGCAGGTCAGAGCGACCGACGAGCTCGTTGACGGTGCGGATACCGAGCTTGGCCATGATGCCACGCAGCTCCTCCGACAGGTAGTAGAAGAAGTTGATGACGTGCTCGGGCTCGCCGGCGAACTTCTCACGGAGGACGGGGTCCTGAGTGGCGATACCGACAGGGCAGGTGTTGACGTGGCACTTGCGCATCATGATGCAGCCAAGGGCAATGAGGGCAGTGGTGGCGAAACCGAACTCCTCGGCGCCCAGCATGCAGGCAATGGCGACATCGCGACCGGTGCGGAGCTGACCGTCCGTCTGAACCGTGACACGGCCACGCAAGTCGTTGAGGACGAGCGTCTGGTGAGCCTCGGCGAGACCGAGCTCCCAGGGACCACCAGCGTACTTGATCGACGACCATCGAGCGGCACCTGTACCACCGTCGTGGCCAGAGATGACAATGTGGTCTGCCTTGGCCTTGGAGACACCCGCGGCGACGACACCGACGCCGACCTCTGAGACGAGCTTGACGGAGACCTGAGCGCGAGGGTTGGCGCACTTGAGGTCGTAGATGAGCTGCTTCAAGTCCTCGATGGAGTAAATGTCGTGGTGAGGAGGAGGGCTGATGAGACCGACGCCAGCCGTCGAGTGACGCGTCTTGGCAATCGAGGGCGAGACCTTGTGGCCGGGCAGCTCACCACCCTCTCCGGGCTTGGCACCCTGGGCCATCTTGATCTGAAGCTGGTCAGAGTCGGCGAGGTAAGACGACGTGACACCGAAGCGGCCAGAGGCAATCTGCTTGATCTTGGAGCGCAACGAGTCGCCGTTGGGCAGAGGGATCGAGCGCTCGGCGTCCTCTCCTCCTTCTCCGGTGTTGGACTTGCCGCCAAGACGGTTCATCGCGATCGCAAGCGCCGAGTGGGCCTCCATCGAGATGGAGCCGTACGACATGGCACCCGTGGCGAAGCGCTGGACGATCTCGGTCCACGGCTCAACCTGGTCGACGGGGATGGGGCGCACCTCCTCGAAGCGGAAGTCAAGGAGACCACGCAGGCAGGTGCCGCGAACCGACTCGGTAGCGCTCTTGGAGTAAGCGTCCCAGGCAGTCTGGTTCTTCTCGCGAGCGGCGTCTTGCAGATTGGCAATGGAGACGGGGTCGTTGACGTGGGCGTCTCCGCCATCGCGCCAGTGGTACTCGCCAGACTCGGGCAGGCCGGGCACGCTGATCGTGTCGCGGCTGGGGTAGCCACGCTCGTGGAACTCGAGGGCGTCCATGGCGAGGAGGTCGAACGTGGAGCCAGCGATGCGCGAGGCGGTGCCGGCAAAGCAGCGGTCAACGACGGACGAGTCGAGGCCGAGAGCCTCAAAGATTTGCGCACCCTTGTACGACTGGAGCGTCGAGATACCCATCTTGGACATCGTCTTGAGGATACCGCCGTCAACGGACTTCTTGTAGTTCTTGATGAGCTCCTCGTCGCTCATCTCCGTCTTGAGGAGACCCTCGGCGGCGACGCGGTACATGGCCTCGATTGCGAGCCAGGGGCAAATGGCGTCGGCACCGTATCCGACGAGTACACAGAAGTGGTGAACCTCGCGGGCCTCGGCCGTCTCGACGATGAGGGCAACCTTGGAACGGTCCTTGTTGCGGATCAAGTGGTGGTGCACACCACCGCACGCGACGAGGGAGGAGATGGCGACGCGCTCAGGGCCAACATTGCGGTCTGAGAGGACGACGATCTTGTAGCCGTCACGGATAGCCTGCGAAGACTCCGTCGAGATGCGGTCGAGGGCGCGAGTGTAACCGTCGATGCCCTCGCTCTTGTCGAATGTGATGTCGATGACCTGAGCAGGCCAGTCAGGGTGAGCCTTGTCCATCTGCTTGAGCGCATTCATCTCACGCAGGCCGAGGATGGGCGACTCGAGCAACAAGCGGTGGCACTGGTCGGGGCGCATCTCGAGGATGTTGCCCTCGGGGCCCACGTACTGGACGAGGGACATGACGACTGCCTCGCGGATGGGGTCGATGGGAGGGTTGGTGACCTGAGCAAAGAGCTGACGGAAGTAGTCATACGTAAGGCGAGGAGCATTGGCCAAGCAGGCGAGGGCCCCGTCGTTGCCCATTGAGCCAAGCGCTTCCTTGCCGTCGGCGACCATGGGCAGCATGAGCATCGAAATCTGCTCAGATGTGTAGCCAAAGGCGAGGAGTCTCGGGTCGGTGCTCAGGGGCACATCGACGAGCTTGGGCGCAATGTTGCTGCGACGGCTGACGGTGCTGATAACTTCGGGCAGGCGCAACAGCTGCGACTCGATCCAGGCGGCAAAGTCGGCCTTCTTGGCGGTCGTGAGCTTGAGCTCGCGGTCGTCGATGACGCGGCCCTCGATGGTGTCGACGAGGAGCATCTTGCCGGGCTGCAGGCGACCCTTGGCGAGGATGCGCTCGGGAGCAATGGTGACGGCACCCGTCTCGGAAGCGCAGACCATGATGTCATCATCAGTGATGCAGTATCGGCACGGGCGCAGACCATTACGGTCGAGGTTGGCACCGCAGTAGCGGCCGTCGGCAAAGGTGAAGAGGGCAGGTCCGTCCCACGGCTCCATCAAACAGGCGGCCCACTGGTAGAAGGCGACCTTGGCGGGCTCCATCTCGTGCTCGTTGCCCTGCCATGCCTCGGGCACCATCATCATGACGGCCTCGGGGAGCGTGATGACGTTGTTGACGACGAGGAGCTCGAGGACATTGTCGAAGGCAGCCGAGTCGGAACCGCCGTTCTCGACGATGGGGTAAAGCATGTCGAGCTCGTCACCGAAAGTCTCGGATCGCAGCTGACCCTCTCGTGCACGCATCCAGTTCTTGTTTCCTCGGATCGTGTTGATCTCACCGTTGTGGGCAGCCCAACGCATAGGCTGAGCGCGGTCCCACGAGGGGAAAGTGTTGGTCGAGAAGCGCGAGTGGACGAGAGCAAAGTGCGAGGCGTAGAATGCGTGGTTGAGATCGTGGTAGAAGTCGTAGACCTGGCGCGGCGAGAGTTGACCCTTGTAGACGATGTTCGAGGGGGAGAGGGAGCAGACGTAGAACCAGTTCTGCAGGCCCAGCGTGTGCGTGGCCGACTTGCGGAGCACGTAGAGCTGGCGGCCAAAGTACTGGTGATTGAAGTCGGCCTGCGGGTTCTCGCACTCGGTCGACGTCTTGCCAAAGTGGTCGGTGAGGACAACGAAAGGCTGGAGGATGACGGGCTCCTTGCTGAGTGAGGCTGGGCCCAAGATGGAGTTGTCTACTGGCACCTCACGCCAGCCAAGGACGCGAAGGTGAAGGTCCGAGGCGAGCTTCTCAAAGGTGGCAATCTGCTTCTTTCTCTTGTCCTCGTCCTTTGGGTCGAAGAACAAATTGCCCGATGCGTACTGACCCTGAGCGGGCAGCTTGACGCCAATGTCCCTCTCAGCCTCACGCCTGAAGAAGGCGTCTGGGATGCCCGTCATGACACCTGCACCATCACCATCACGAGCGTCTGCGCCGACGGCACCGCGGTGGGTCATGTTGCAGAGCAACGCCTTTGCGTCGGAGACAATCTTGTGTGCTGGCTTTCCCTTGATGTGGCACATGAAACCTACACCGCAGGAGTCCTTTTCATTCTCGGGGTCGTAGAGGCCCTGGGCAGCGGGGAGCGAGCCTGCCCAGTAGTCGCCGGACCTCTCGACGTCCTCGAAGCCGCTCTCCCAGAATGACTGCGACGAGGTGGCCTGGCCAGCGTGAGGCAGGGGAGTGATGAAGAGTCAGTATTGCGTGCGATTGCCATCCGCCATGCGCCCGCGCGCCCGCATATGCTCACCTCCTCGGAGTCCTCGGGAACTGGCATGAGGGCTGGCTCCTTCTCAATGGTACGGATGACGGGGCTGCGAGCCATGGTTGCTAGTGTGGCGTGGCGTGAATTAAAGACGAGTGATGCTAGGGCGGTGTTTGGTATCGTTCGCGCGGGCTCGTTGCTGGCTGGCGATCTATAGGGAAGCTTATGTGACGATGCGGATGGATGCGCGCGCGGGTGTGGCGAGGTGGTGATGAGTCGAGTGTCGCAGTAGGGCGTCCAGCGTCTTAGAGACGACGAGGCCTCTCCTTTCGAGATCGCTGGTGGCGGTTGTGGCGAGTCGTTGGTATGGGTCGCGGGTGAAGGGGATAGGTAGTTGTGCGACTAGGAAAGAGGGAAAAGGCAAGAAGAAGGTACGAGGCTGCGAGGCTTGCGAGGCTGCGAAAGTGGGTCGCAAGGACCGCCAATTGTAATCAGGTGTGCGCCTCGGAGACGGGCTAGGCGCGCTCACACACCAACTCGCAGCAACGGGCAGACACAAGGCAGCAGACGAGTCAAGTGCCTTGAACACGGACTGGCGGGTGGTGAGCGGGGCACACAGAGGCGAGGCGCCAGTGAAAAAATTAAGACGAAGAGTCGAGAGACGAGACTTTCCCCCGCCGGCGAGGCTGCGAGGGCGAGCCTGGGTTGCTTGTGTCAGCTCCCCCCGCGCCCCCTCTAGGCTCGGCCTGGCCCACCAAAGCTGCCCAAGCCTGCCCAAGCCTGCCAACAACGACCGGTCCCGCGAACATCCGAAGCCGGCCTCTCCCACTTGAGCGAGCAGAGGAGCAGGACAAGGGACGGGCTCCGCGTTGGCCGTCGTCTTGCTGCGTCGCCTGCCCACCGCTGCTGTGAAATCCAATCGAGAGACCGCGTCCTACTCGACGCTCGAGTCGAGATGCCGGCCGGGGCTGCACGGTGCAGGCGGGCGGGCGGACGCTTGCTTATGCTCCCCTCCCCTCCCCTCCCCTCACTCGCTCTCTCTCCGGCAACTTGGGCCTCGCCGCGAGTCTCGCCGTCTCGCTGCGCTGAAGGAAGCTGTGGCGCCTGGGTTTCTCATGTCAAGGGCGTCGGCGCCAACCTAAGATAAGGAAGACGAGACGAGACGAGACCAAGCATTCCGTTCCGGAGTGAGGGGCGTGATGTGGTAACATGGAGGAGCGGGCAACGTGTCAGGCGGGCCTGCGATTGGGTCAAAGCTTGTAGACGACTCAATGTGACGATGAGAATGCGAGCAGAGGGTAAGCGGGTGGCAAAGCGTAAACCAGTAGGAGAGGGATATGTCGACGAGGTGTGTTGAGCCGTAGATTTAGCCTATCTGTGAGTGAGCGCGCCTCGCCACGCGGCGAGTTGGTTGAGCGTCACGGTCAACTTCGTTCGCAGCGGTACCGCGGTCGAGCAAGCCGGTGCCACGGCTCACGGCCGCTGTAATGAATCGGTTTGTCGCCGATGTGATCTTGATCGAGAGCTAGGTGCCACTCGGACGAGTCGCTCTGCCCTCACATTTCTCGAATAAGGTGAACCCGCAATGATGCTTGTAGCCAGGCCGCTCGCCTTTCTGAGCCCGCCTCCCGCCTTTGCGACTGCGACAGCGATTGCGACCGAGCTTTTGTTCGAACTACAGCAGACTGACAGTCGCCATGTCTGACATCAATTGCATCCTTTGCCGCCACACTGCCATCCTCGCTGGCTACATAGGGATGAAGAGTCGCGGTGCGTATCATCAAGCTCGGCCGTCATCCTCGCAATGATGGAAGTGCGAATGGCCCCTCGAATCTGCCTCTCTAGCCACAGGGATCGCTCAGGCATGCAGAGTTGCAAGCATTCGTAAAGAATGAGCACCATCGTCAGGCTGCGTGCCTCGCGAGTTTCCATAATTGGCCAGGCTAGAGAGCGGGCTTGAGAGGTTGATGGTCGAGACGTAAGATGGAGAGGTCGAGAGTCGAGAATTGAAGAGCAGACCAACGAGCGAAGTAGGCAAGGCAGGTCGGCAGACAGTGATGCGCATGGGTCATATGGCTAGTCTGGCCGATATCTACAACCCAACTCTAGACCTCGCTACTCTTGCCCTTGTCCTTTTGGAGGTAGAGCCGCATCGCTAAAGCATCTTCCCCATCAGCGTCTGTACAAGCGAGCGAGGGGACGGGGGAGCGAGAAAACAGGTAGGATGGTCAGCGCATGGGCAATTGCACAATTTATGTCCAGGGCTTCAAACGCACAGTACCCCTTCTCTACGCCGTGCACCTCGAAGCCCAACGTATCCCTGTAGAGACCAATAGCCGCTCGGTTGGTCCGTCTCACGTGTAGTGACACGAACTCGGCATCAAAGACGTCCCGCATTGCCATCTCTGCGAGCGAAAGTCATGAGTGGGAAAGAATGTCAGCATACCCGCCTATTGGTAGCTGTGGTGGCCGCTGCCGTTGCCGCTGTTCCGCTTCGCGCACTCACGACTCTGCCTCATAAGTTTCTGTGCCAATCCGAGCCTCCTGTATCCCCTCAGCACGCTAATACTCGTCACATGTCCATGCTGTATACCATCCTTGGGCTCCTCTTCCATTTTTGCGAGACAATACCCGACTACTCTCTGAGGAGGGGAGGAGGGGGCAAAGAGGGATCAGGTCCAGAGGCAAAGAGTGAGCTCAGCAGCGACATGGGCACCACATTTGGGATGAGGAGGTCTGGAACTCACCTGCTTCGAATCTGTGGCCACAAATGACAACTGAGGCCAGGTCAGGCTATGGTAAAGGTAATAGCGCAACGTATAGTTTTCGGGCAGGCAGTGCAAGTTGGTGCGTTGTAGCTCGAGTAGATCGGCTAGGCGCGCCGGTCGGATGTCCATTGCGGCTAGTGGAGGCGGCAGGGAGGGAGAGGAAGATGCTCGTAGGGTGAAGAGGTCTGGCAGCGATGGGAAGGGAGGAGATGGTAACTGTGAGAGGGCAGGATGGAAGGACCGACGCAGCGGGAAGCGGATAGCGGCACGCGGAGATGAAACCCACGTGGCATGGCCGCCGACTCCGCCTGTCCGCGTCCGTGCGCAGCGCAGCGAGGTTGGCAGTCCAGCGAGTCTGCTCACGCCTTTGACCCGAGGAGGATGATGATGACGGTGGTAAGATGGCATTCAGACAAAGCAAGGCCGCGACATTGGTATGAATGATGACGTGTAGCGAGATGGAAACAAAGTGAGAAAGGAGTGAAGAGAGGTGTGTGGAAGTGGAAGGCGAGCGGGGCGAGTGATAGTGGTATGTTGGATGCTGGTGAGAGTCGAGAAAACCAATACGCGATACGATGATGCCCTGTCGGACAAGGCTGTCAAGGGATGGACGAGCAATTCTGCCACCTGCTCCTCTCACTCAAGTCTCTCCCACCTGCTTGCCCTCCTGTCCCTCCCCCTCGTGCCCCTCTCCCTCGTCACTCGGCTGCCTATACTCCAACTGACTCAAAAGCTGCGGCCAAACCTCCGGCAAGCCCGGATGAGCTCCACTCCCGCTCCTCATCAAGAGACAGCGCATAGCCTTTGTCTTTTTCACCTCACCCCACTTGCTATACAAGAAGGCAAGCTGCACATCCCTAATCGCCGTGTGTCTGCTCGCGAAACTACTGAAGGCCTCCCACACCACGTTGCCCACCGTCAATTGGCTGGCAATGTGCGCCTGAGCGCGTGCGCGCAGGTCGGGGAGATCCAGCTTATCCGCAAGACGATAGATTGCCTTGGCTGAGCAAGGGGCAGGGCGGGTTGGGTGCGAAGAGACGTACGAAGTAATGATGGCTTGGCGCGCCTTGTATGCTTGGAGGACTTCGCTGGCAAAGTCGTTGAAGGGGGCTGAGTCGACGCCGGAGCTAGTGTGCTTGGCGAAGCCGGAAGGGCTGGTCGTTGAGGTGCTCGCTGTCATGCCTCCGCGCTTGGACGAGGTGGTGGAGGCGGAGTCGAGGAAGCTCGAAGTCAATGGCGCGAACTCGATGGTGTCCGTGTAGAGGAAGTAGAGGAGAGCCTTGAATGTCGCGTAGGAGCTGTCCGGTATTACGACGCGACGACGACGACGATTGTCGTAGGGATGCTGCGCTGCGCGGGCCGTGCTGCTGCTCGTAGTAGTTGTGTCCTTCCCCTGTGCCACCCCGCGAATACTGCGACGGCGACTTGTTGTGGTTGCGTTCGACTTGGAGCTGGACCCGGACTTGCGGGCTGCGCTGGCCTTGGCCGTCCTCGACGACGACGTCGCCTTCTTGAGCGCTGTCAGGTCGGTACGACTGTTATTGTTGCTCGGAGCAGAGGCAGACTCGTATCCGTCGCTCTCCTCGCCAGCACCATCATCATCATTGTCCTCCTCCATCTCCATAGCTTCCATTTCGTCAATCTCGGCGTCCGAGTCCTCGAGGATGCGCTCGTAAGCATCGAAGCTGTCCTCCTCTGAAGCGGCTGCAGAAGAGTGGGAGTGGGAGTGGGAGGAAGACGAAGACGATGACTTGCGCGAGGAGGTAGATGCCCTGCGGGCTGACGACTTGGCGGCTCGGGGCGCGTCGTCGCCATCGTGTGAAGGACCGGCAAGGCTCTCAGCGGACGTGTGGCCTTCTGAGAGCTCGGCCTCGGCGAATCCTCCAGAGAACATGCTACGAAAGTATTGTGAGCGAGAGGCGAGAATCCTAGAGGGGATGAATGAGGATCAGCTTGCCGTCCATCTGCTGGTACGTCACGTCGCGCCGCGCCACACCCACTTCTTGATGGCGTAGATCTGTCTCGGCGGGGCCCTAGACGTGGAATCGCGGCGGCGTGGCTGGTCAAGTACAAAGACGACGTCGCTGTGCTCAGGATCGTCGAGAAGGGAGCCCATAGCGCTGAGCAGGGCTGGAGGCACCACCATTCCCGTAGGCTGCTCGGTGACGGCCTTTTCCGGCGACCCTTGAATGCTAACAGTGATGAGGAAACAGTCCGTCTCTTTGACTTTGGGGTCGTCGTAGAAGACTACGTCACGCTTGGCGAATTGGGCCCCTGACGCGGGCGCAAAGAGGGGGAGGAGGGGTGATTCAGCTCACTGACTAGGAGGTGCTCGCGTGCGCGCGCCCACTCACAACCCCAGTTGCTCGTCTTGCTGCTGAACGAATGATCCTGCGCATCTTTCTGGCCGAGTACGTGCGACTTGTCTGGTCGTTGGATGGTGAAGTTGAAGCGATACTTGCCTTCTCGAGCCCAGGAAGGCTCGCTCTGACCACCGCTCCAGGCTGCACGAGGAGGACCACCTTCGGCGTACGGGGTTCCTCTGCCCTGGAGAGACGTGGTGCGCTCCGACTCGAGTGGCTCAGCATTGAGGTAGAGAGAGCAGTACTAGCGGGGGCAAGGTGGGGGAGCAAAGTGAGCTTTCCAGCAACAACGAGCTCTCTCTGGCTCTGCTTCCCGGCCACGCACCTGATCATGTCCACTCTGAGCATAGAACAATATACTCCACCTGCCCCCACCAAACGGCACGCTCTTGAGCACTTTACTCTTCGTCTCCTGCTTACTCGTATCGAAGACCTCCTTGAGTCCAGTGAGCGGCCACTCGAAGATGGTGCAGGGGCTCTCATTGGGGATCCAAGTAGAAGGCTTCTCCGGATCGTAGACGTAGCCCGTTGAAGTGGGAACGGCAGAGCTGGGCTCCTTGCCATTCCCATCACGGCGGGCAGTGCGGCGTTGGGCGGCTGCAGCCGTGAGCTGGGCGGTGGCTTGAGCCATCGTGCGTAGGGAGAGAAAGGGGCGAGGGTGATGGTGGTAAAGGAGACAAGAAAGTGCTGCCTGCCTTCTCGAGGGCACGCCTCAGCCTCAGCCTCTTCGTGTGTGCGTGTGTGTGCGTGCGTGTGTGTTGGTTGCTTTGCTCCTCTCATTGCTCTCGTTGCTCTCGCTGCTCTCCGACTTTGTCTCCGTCCCTTGTCCCGCTCGCCCGCATCGCACTCGACTGCCGTCCCGCCCTGTCAGCCTCGATGCTTGCTTGCTTGCCGCGCTCGGGCCACTCACTCGATTCCACTCGACCCTCAGCACTCGACGACGTGCGAGACGAAGCCGCGCGGCCAGATGAACGGACAGACGGACGGACGGACAGGAAGCCTCGTCAGCCCTGGCTTGGCCTGCACGACGCAGCGACACTTGGCTCTCCACCATCATCACCACCACGCTAACGCAACCATGTCTCGCTCATACGATCGAGCGCTCACCGTATTCTCGCCGGATGGCCACCTCTTTCAGGTCGACTACGCAATGGAAGCCGTCCGCAAGGGGACCTGCGCTGTACGTAGCTATGCGACTTGCTCAATTGTCGTCCGCGTCGCACGCTGACCTCCCTCTCCTTCTCTCATCTCGCTCGCTCTCGCCCCCACAGGTCGGCGTCCGCGGTAAAGACGTCGTAGTCCTCGGCGTAGAGAAAAAGTCGGTCCTCCAACTCCAAGACGCCCGCACTATCCGCAAAACCGCCATGCTAGATCACCACGTCTGCCTCGCCTTTGCTGGGCTCACGGCCGATGCCCGCATCTTGATCGACAAGGCTCGAGTGGAATGCCAGTCTCATCGCTTGAGAGTCGAAGATCCTGTGACCATCGATTACATTACGAGGCATATTGCGGGCATTCAGCAGCGATACACTCAGAGTGGCGGTGTAAGGCCGTTTGGGATCGCGACGCTCATTGTTGGGTTTGATGCGAATGAGGAGGATAGGCCTAGGTTGTACATGACTGAGCCTAGTGGAATGTGAGTGCAACGTCACCTCTTCGCACTACTACCTAATTCACTCTGCTCAACCTCCCCTCCTCCCCACGCCACAGGTTCTCCGCATGGAAAGCAAACGCCATCGGTCGCTCCTCGAAGACGGTGCGCGAGTTCCTCGAGAAGAACTATTCCGAGGGCCTAAACAGGGAGGATACTGTCAAGCTTACGATCAAGAGTCTCCTAGAGGTGGTTCAGACGGGAGCCAAGAATATCGAGATCGTGGTAATGGATGGGCATGGCAAGTTGAAGGTGAGTCGGCGCTTCCCCTCCCCCTTCCCCCCCGGGGAGCTGGCTAGACAGCTGAGGCAGAAAGAGTGCTGATCGATTCAATTGCGTTACCTCGCTCGCGCGCGCCCGCAGAACCTGGATTTGAGCGAGATCGAGGAGGTAGTCAAAGTCATCGAGAGCGAGAAGGAGGCAGAGGCGGAACGCCGTCGTGGCAGGTTGGCACAGCAAGCACAGACGGCGCAGGAGATGGCGGGCGGGGCTGGGGACTCGTAGCGTGGGGCGTGGCAGGCAATGAGACAAGACAATTCCTTCATCATCATAATCGTTCGTGGACATGAGCGTGACTGCGAGATCATCTTGTATTTGGCGATGCTGCTATGCTGAGTAACAAAAGGTAGGCGAGAAAGAGTGCAGAGAGAGAGAGAGAGAGTGGTGCGGTGAAGGTTTGGGTATCGAGGCGCCGAAGCAAGACAAGGCAGAGCGGTGGTGATAATGATAGTGTCATCTGATGGGCAACGGTTTGATGGTCAACGTGATCATGCGCCCCCGCCTGCTCACTCCCTCGACGCAGAGGTCGAAGAGAAGAGGGAGGAGAGGGCTCTCAGCTGTTCCAACAGCGAGTTCGCACCAGTGCCAGCCCCATGCAGTGGACTGAATCCACTGCCAGAGCCAGAGCCGTGGCTGACATTGCCGCCAAAGGAGGAGGATGGCGGACGTGACGAGAGAAGCGCTGAAGACGACGAGGAGTTGAAGTAGACCGCTCCCGCCACCCCAGCCAGAGCGACGAGGAGCACCAAAGGTCTGAGGATCGTCGCTCCCTGCTTCTTGGCTGAGTCCGGGAACCTTGGCACATTGGCGCGCATCTCCGTCCAGATGACGGGCAGGATAACGACACAAGCCGTCCAAAAGACCATGACGCTCCTCCAGACCAAACCTGGCCACTCGAGCAACCCAGCCTTGCGTGCTCGCCCCTCCTTCTCGTAGAACTGCTCGTGCGCAAAGAGACAGTAGATGCTGTACAGTGCAACTCGGAAGAAGTGGTCTACCAGCAAAACGGGGTTGGGCTCGAGACCGCTCAATAGGGAGACGGGTCCACCCACGCATTCCCCGCCGAGCTCAAAGTACTTGAAGCACCCTTCGCGCAACACGGAGAGGGATGCGTCGTCTGCCCCGAAGAGGGAGTAGAGGGCTTGAGCGAGAATGTTGATTACCGAGGCGAGAGACTTGCGACGCCAATGCCAAGTGCGGAGGGCTGGGCGGATGCAGTTGGGCCAGTCGGCCAGGTCGAGCGGGGTGGTCGCTTTTGCGTGCTTGTCGCCTTGTTCCTCGTCGCTCCACCACCTCTCACTGCCGCCCAAAACCTTGGTGAGATGCACGCAGTCCCACAGTCCTACACTCATCCCACCGCCCGTAAGCGGGTGACGCATATTCAACGCGTCCCCCACGACGATGACTCCCTCCCTATCCTTACTCTGGCCCTGCATACTAGGCGGCAAAAAGCTATTCGGCATGCTTCTCAACCTCTGCCCGGCATCCAGCTCCCTCTCAATACACGGGCGAAGCTCCTCGGGGATATGCGGCAAGAAGTCCTCCCTGATATGCCTTTGCAATTCCCCCTTTGCCTGGCTGGGCAATTTCTCTCCAGCGACATCGATGAGGATTCGCGTGTGAGTCGAGCCGATCTGGTAGAGGAGGATGGGGCCAGAGGGAGAGAGGACTACGTGCCCGTGGTGCGGGGCAGGGAGGGGTGCATGGCTGAGCTCGAGACCGACGAAGTTGCTGCGCACTTTGGGAGAGATGGAGGAGCCGTGAGTGCGGCGGAATTTGGAGAAACAGCCGTCTGCTACTATTGTGATTGTGGAGTTGAGGGTGAGCTCTGAGGAAGAGGAGGAGGAGTCTGCCTCTGAGGCTGTTGGACCTGAGTTGGAGCTGGCAGAGGTGCTGCTGCGTGTGCAGCGGACACCGACGATCTTGTTGTCCTTGGTGACGAGGTCGCGGACTGTGGCTTCGAGAGTGGTGACGTTTGGATGGGACATGGCCTTGCGACGGAGAGAGGAGACAAAGTTGCCGTGGTGGAAGGATCGTCCTTCTACTCTTCCACTAGTGGACTTTACGCCCTTGCCCCCATACCTTCCCGCCTCCTCAGGGTAAGGAATAGGCACAGCCCTGGGCCCATAGAATACCTGATAGCCTTCAACGGGCACGGCATCTATCCCATCTAAGCACTCTCCCATGCCCAACCAGTGCAGGGCTTTGACCCCTCCCGGCTGTAGGAGCTCCCCGACGATGCGGTCAGGGTGGGAGAGGTCACGCTCTACGAGGACGACGGAGCGTCCGGATCGGGCGAGGGAGTAGGCGAGGGCGGAACCTACTACTCCTGCGCCTACTATTGTGAAGTCGAAGTGGCGGGTGAGATCGGGTTCAGATGTGGATGCCATGTTGACGGCGAGCGTTGTTGATGAGGGAAGGAACAAATTGAACGTTGAGATGCGAAGTTGTCAATTAGGCTCGCTCTCGTTGATTCGCCCGCCCGCCCGCCCCGCCTGCCTCCGCCTCGGCCTTGACGTGCACTTGGGTCAGCAACTCACCGAGGGGCGGCGGCGGCAGTGTGAGACGCAGACGCAGACGCAATTGGCTGTGGCGTCGTTGAGGTCGAGTGAAAGTGCCACGCGAGCGAGACGCGAGAGACACAGCCAGACAGACGCTCAGGCCAAGGCATTGACGCACGCTTGCCGCTCGCAACTGGCAACTGAGCAACTTGACGACCTTTACACGCCTTACATCCAGCATGGCGTCCCATGCCAGCGCCGATGACATGGATCCCTTTGCGCAGGGTAGTGGCACACGGCCACCGTCCTACCACGAGGACCAGGATACCACCACCACCACCACCAACGAGGCAACTCCATCCGCGCGGGCCGCCTCCTCTTCCTCTTCACCAAGTGCTCCTCATGCTCAGCAACAGCAACAGCAACAGCAACACGCCCCTCTCCCACCCCCGGAAATCGACATGTCTACCCTCAGCATAATCGACGCTCAAAAGACGACGGACCACGTAGGCGCATCGTCCTTCATCGTCTACGTCATCCGCACGGGCACCACCGAAGCAAAACGTCGCTACTCGGAATTCGAAGCACTCCGCAGCGCCCTCGTCTCCCTCCACCCGACGCTCATCATCCCACCCATACCAGATAAGCACACCTTGAGCGACTATGCCGTTCGCCAATCCAAAGCAAAGGAAGATGCAACAATCATCGCCAGGCGAAAACGAATGCTCCAATCGTTCCTCCGACGTTGCGCCTCCCACCCGACCCTGCAGAGCGACGCGGTCCTCCGCAAATTCCTAGATGGCCGTTTCCCATGGCACGAGATCCTCACAACGCCGCCTCTTTCACACCTCCCCAAGTCGAACCTCAGAGCCCCACCACAGAATCCGGCAGACCCTCAAGCAAGCCCAGCGTACGCCTCTCTACCCCTTCCACCCAGCTCAACCGGCGCACAACAGCCATTGCGCAACCCCTCACAACGCTTTCTGGACAGCGAAGCTTTCACGAACCGCTTTGCGGCACACATGAGCCAATCTCTCGAAAAAGCCAACCGTCGTGTCGCGCGTCGCTGGTCCGACTCCTCGGGGGACTTTGCAGAGCTAGGTGCCGTCCTGAATGGCTTCTCTCTCAGCGAGTCTGGCGCCCTCGCCTTAGCCATCGAGCGGACGGGTCAAGCGGCCGATTCCACTTTTATGTCCATTGGGGGCTTGCTAGGGGATTGGGAACAGAGCTTTACTGAGCCTCTGCACGAGTATGTGCAGTTTGCTTCCGTGTTGCAGAAGTTGTTGAAGTGGAGACAGGCTAAGCATGTGCAGTTTGAGATGGCACAAGATGCTCTTGAGGCTAAGCGGCTTAAGTTGGGGGAGCTGGAGCGTATCGAGGCAGAGGCTCGGAGGTTGGATAGGGCGTTGGAGACTGGTGGGAGAAGTTTGGGATTGGGCACGGCAGGGGCCATGCATGGCGGTGGGGCGGCTGGGAGGAGGGGAAAGAGCAGTATCTACGGCTCGGCGGTTGAGGGGGAGGACGAGGAAGGCGCCTCGGCGGAGAGGGGACGGTCACCAGGTCTGGGCGACGAGGCAGGGTGGAGTGACGGCATCGGCTCACCATCTGCTGGTGCTGCTGCTGCTGCTGCGCCCAGCAACGACGAAAATGCCGCGGCTGGAAATCATGGCGCCAACGCCTCGCGCGATCCAGCCGCGCTCAGGCATCGTCCGAGTCACAGCTCCTCCTCGAGCGGGGCAGGTGGCGGTGGCGGTCTACTCTCCTCTCTCACCTCCACCTTCTCCTCCTTCCTAGACGTGGACCCAGAGTCTACCCGTCGACGCGAGATATCCCGTCTGCGCGAGGAGATCCTCCTGCTGGACGAAGGGCTCAAGCTCACCGCTGCGGACCTCAAATGGGCCACGGGGGCTATTCAGACTGATCTGGATCGATTCCAACGGGGGAAAGTGAGGGATTTCAAGGGTATGATGCTCGCTGTAGCTAGGATGCATAGGGAATTTTGTCGAGTCGTGAGTGCTACGGGCGCGAGACCCCCGACCTTCTCATTTTCCTGCTCTCAAGGCGAGGCTTACTCACGCACGCGCACCTTTCCAATTCATCCCATCTCCCTTCCCGCATACAGAATTTGCAAAACTGGCAAGAAGCCAAGGACTCCATCGACGCCATTGAGGGGCGGGTGCAGCCTGCTTCTAGCGCAGAACAGTGGCCGACGGGAAGGATGCCGGAGAGCTCGCTCACGAGGCACGAGGAGCGCAACAATAGCAACAGCAGTAGTGCTGGTGCTAGCAGTGGTGGTGGGGCTGGTGGTGGTGCCGGGAAGACGAAGCGGAAGGGCGCTGCGATGGGGGAGACGGAAAGTGTGTGGTAGCTTGTGAGAGAGGGGGGGGGGGGCGGAACGTGTGAGAGGGAGATGTGTATGTAGATGAGACAAGATGAGATGATGGCTAAACGTTGATATCCTGCCTGCCTGCCTGCCCGTAACTCTCAACTCTCGGCTCTGCCCTTCCCTCTCACCTTTCCCCTCTCTGCCAGCCACGCCCTCCACCGTTACCAGGCGGGATAGACGGTCCCGCTGCGGCAGCGCCGGCAGGTGCGTAACCCCTCTCCGACTCCCCATCAACGCCCCCTCGCCCTCTCCGCACCCGCAACAAACCAACTCTCCCTCACTCCCCCCTCCAACCCCACTCTCTCGGCCCCTTTGACATTCCAATACTCGCTAGGCAAAGGTGTCTCCCCTTCATCGGCCCACAGGTTCGCCGAAGGAGGCTGGAATGTCGTACGAGCCGTTGGGGTGGGACGATGTTTCCCGTGTTGCCAGGGGGCAGAGGTGCGCGTCGTCATTGTGCGTTGCGTGGACGTGGAGGGGGAAGGAGTAGTCAAAGTCGTCGAGTTGGAGGGGCTGCGTACGGGAGAGGTGCGGGCGCAATTGCGATCGCGATCACGGTTGCGATGCGAGGTGCGAGGGGAAGGGGCACGCTCCCTCGTCGTCGTCGTGCTCGTGGTCGCAAGAGGAAGGGACGACTCGCTGGCGCCGATGACGCCGGCGCCAGCACCGCCGGGCGAAGCGTTCGAGAGTAGCAGGCTGGACTCGGATGGCCCGCCAGTGCCGCCACCGGTGGAACGCCAATAATCTCGATCCCAATAATAGCTCGAGTACCCTGCGGCGCTGCTCATGCTTGTGTGGGCCTTGTTGTTGGGCTCGTACCCGGCCTCGGTCGTGGTGGAGAGAGAGGTGAGGGATGAGAGGGAGGAATGTGCATGATGCTGCGCCTGACCCTGGTGCTGGTGCGCTTGACCTTGAAGCTGAGCCTGGGCCTGTACTTGTAGCGTGGTACTGGAAGCGTTGGCATGGGCGTTGGCGTCGACGCCGATGTACAGATCGGGCATGCTCGAGTTGGAAGCGAGCTGCTGATGCTGATGCTGCTGCTGTGGTGACCCGCTCCTTGAAACAGAAGCAGAGCCAGAACCATATCGCCAAGCGGCTGGCGGGGGGGATACTTTCGCGCCTGCTCCAGCGCTGCTGCCGAGACCGAGTCCGAGCTTGTTGTGGTGGGCATGATCGTGCACGGAGTACCAGGATCCGTGCTCCCCTCCGCGGTAGGAGAGCTGTGCGAGTGGGGAGGAGGGAAGATGCGTTGCGCTTGCACTTGCGGATGGGTTGGGGTTGGGCGCGGCGACCTGACCTGGCAGGGAGGTGGCGACAGCTTCTGGGTGGGGACGATGCTGCTGCTGCTGCTGTTGTTGTTGAGCGGCTAACCCCTCTTGCAAACTATGATACGAAGGAACCTGCTCCAGCGCGCCAGGCTCGGCGGGTAGACGCGCTTCGGCGGGCATCGCCAGGTCAACATCAGCTCTACTGTTGCTAGGCGGTATAATGATCCCCAACTGAGCCCCCTGAGCGCGCATGGTAGCTTCTTCCGTCTCTTGCTGTCGCTTCCTATGCTCCTCCTCGAGACGGGGCAAGTCATCCACTCTGGCTTTGGCTGGACCAACGCCGACAGTGTGCAGGATAGGGGCTGTGTGTCAGACTCATCGACGTCGTCAGTACGCTTGGCGTCTACGGCTCGGTAGGAAGGGAGGCAGGGAGGTACGCACGTCTCTTCCTATTGTAGTCGAACATGGGGTATTGTTCCAGAAGTGCTCTCGTCTTCTTTGTTCTCTTGCTCTCCCTACCCGTACCTTCGACCTCCATAGCACGACGATGGCGCATCCTTCCCGGCGCGAGTACGAGGGCAGGTTTCGTCGACGGGCTCCGCCCAAGGAGCTGGCTGAGGCGATTGAGCCTGCCTTGCCTCGTACCGCTCTCCACTTCTTGTCCTCCATCGTTCTCGTCGTCGCCCAGCTGCCCATCAGCACGCAGCTGTGCGCGCCTAATTCGCTCCTGCAACTCCTTGAGAGCGGCCACCTCCTCTTTGCGCCTGCGATGTAGTCGGATGGAGAATTGGAGGAGGATGAAGAGGGTCGAGAAGACGAAGAGACCCCCAAGGGCAACGATGAAGGGGATGACTTTGCCTCGCATCGCGTGAGGACGTGGTGGTGACGAGAAGAGGGTAGTGGATTGCTGGCAAGCAGACGGCCAGACAACCCGGTGCTCATCAGCCCTGAAGGCAAAGGTGCGGGAGGATATTGATTGCCTGCTCAGCCCTACCCGCGACCCGTGTGCCTGATGGCCATGGCCGAGAGCGACGGCAGCCCGTCCGCCTGCCTCGGGGCAAGTCGAGTTAAGTCATAGCAATGGTCATTTCGCGTCGAGTCGCAGCTCCGAACAAAAAGAGTCGTCATATACAGAAAGGGGGGGCCGCAGGCCACACCCCGTGTCCACCTCGCACACGCTCACTCATCATCTCCCCCCCTCCTCAGCATTCCAGCTCAACAAACTCATATCCCCCAATCTCCTCGGCCTAACCAGGTGATTCGCCGTGAACACCAGCCCCAAAAGGATCAACAATCCCGCAACTACAATGTAGGCAATCCCCAAGAAAGGGTTCCTACCTCCTACCCAGGAGACGGTGGAGATTACGATGCTCTTTGTCCCTTTGAACATCGTGACGGGATAGTTGTCCGTTATGTCTAGTCGGTAGTAACCCGCGCGCAGCACGTCGGCATCGTTGCGTTTGTAGAGCTTGCGGAAGGTTGGGAGGCCGGCTGTGCGCATCCAGACCATGAAGTGCTCGTCTTGCGAGGGATCCTGGTGAGGCGGAGCGAGTGGTGCGTAGCGTGAGAGGGAGGCAGGGTCAGCGAGAAGAAGCAGTATCGACATCGACGCTCGGTGGCTCACGAAAAGGTTCGATCCGTTTGCAAAGTACTCCCCGCTGGGCTTGCCATAACGCTCCCCTGTAGCTCCGCGCCAGTACGGAGGCGGGATCAGCTGCGAAGGGTCCATGGTGGTTCGCTTATACTTGTCCTTCTCCCCCGGCCAAACGATCCCCCTCTCGCTCATCGCGTACGTGACATTCTGACTCGTACTGCTAGTCAGGAGAATCGGGTCCCCAAACGTGTCGTTGAATACCGAGTTGGCGATCAATCCACAAGGGTAGATGGCTTTCCCTGTAGCGTCGTCCTTGCCGACGGGCTTGCACTGCCCGCCCTGCAGATCATCGGCCGTACGCACTTCGCCGAGGAGCTGTTGAGTGTCCAGAGACTTGACGTAGCGTCGATGGTTCTGGTAGTAATTTGTGAGCTTGTAGTAGAGGAAGAGGGGCGGGTCTAGGTCCGTGGGGATCCAGAAGAAGACCTGGCAAGGGCGAGGCGAGCGAGGCAGAGATGATGAGAATTCAAGTCAGCCTTTCGTGGAGGAAGATGGCATATAGCCTGCGTATCAGTGGTCCGCCTCACCTGGCAAGCATTCTCGCCCGTCCTGGTCCACCTAGGCTGCTGAAAGTTGGAGCTACTGATGTCGTGCAGCTGATAGCTGTATTTGCTGCTCGGGATGGCTTGGTCTTCGTTGAGCGGGAGGGAGATGCACTCCGTGTAGTCGATTGTGCTGCGAGGGCGGAGCGAGAGTGCGAGAGGGAGTCAATGAGCCATGTAGGCATGAGGGATTAAGAGCGCGCCGCGCACGTACAGCTCGCTGACGGTGGATGAAAAGTAGTAAAGCACAGCCCCGATGGGCGCAAAGATGAGACCCAGGACGAAGAATGTAGGCAAGACGGATCGCGGTGTGAGGATGGGCTGCCATGCTTTCAGTCTTTGTTGCTTGAAGGCGGTGTCTACGTGCATGGGCGGGTCAGGCATCCTGTCAGCTCGCCCTTCCTATTCGTGCAAGCCAAGCCAGGTCAGGCCAGACCGAGCTAAGCTGATCCTGTCCTGTCCTGGCAAGGCGAAGAGGCGATGCGAGGCGCAGCTTAACTCACTTGCCGGCTTTCGCTGAGCAAAGGGCTTCTTCTCCTTAATGACGCTATCGGTATCATTGTCAGCTGCTCCTGCTCCACCGGCAGGCCCACCAGGCTTGGAGGCGGGACCTGCGTCTGTTGCTCCTCGACGGTTGAAGATGGCCATCGCGGTGCGCTGTGCGAGGTTGAGGATGGATGGAGGTGGGACAGGAGTGCGATGCGAGTCCTCACTCAATTCGCTCGTGTTGCTTGGCCCTCGAGGCGGGCGGGCGGGCGGGAGAGCGGCACAGGCGGGCCGAGATCAGAGGAGCCACGTGGTCGTCTCCGCTTCCCACTCGCGGAGAGAGATTTTGGCCTCTCTGCCTCGCCGACGTTGTTTCCGCTACTCTGCTCCCTCGTCTTCACACTTGCCATCCCACACTTCCACCTTCCCCATCGCTATAATGGCAGACGCAGTTCCCGCCCTAGCGGCCTACACGGAATCGGCACAGAGAGCTGGCGTTTCAGGGTCTGGCTCGTCGAACAAGAGCAAGGGCGCCAAAGCCAAAGGCTCCTCGCGCTCCTCCTCCTCCTCACGGCCTAAACGCCCCACCCGCCCGCTCAAGACCCGCCTCGAATTCGACGAGACATCCCGGCACGACTACCTAACCGGGTTCAGGAAACGTAAAGCTGCGAGAATCGAGAACGCGAGGAAGAAACGCGCAGAGTTGGAGAAGGAGGAGAGGAGGATTGCGAGAAGGGAGGGGAGGGAGGCAAAGAGGGAGAAGGCGAGGGAGAATTTGGAAGCAGAGAGGAGGGCGTATGCTCCGAGTGATGAGGAGGATGTGGGTGAGGATGATGATGATGATGATGATGATCAGCAAGGACGAGGGGAGGCTGAGGCGTCTCAGAGGTATGAGGCCGGAGAGGGAGAGGAGTACCAGACGACGGTCACTGTAGCCGAGTGGGACCCACACGCCGATGAGGAGGACGCTCCTCCAGCACGGGCTCAAGCTTCTTCTTCATCATCCTCAGCCAAACCAGCAAAACCCCGCCCCTCAAAACCCACCGAATCCCTACCCCCAAGCTCGGCTCGGATGCAGAAGAAGAGCCAGACCAAGACCTCTTCCTCTCGTCCCTCCTCATCATCCCAATCCAACCTCAACACCAAATCCCTCTCCTCCCTTCTTACGCCACACTCACACGATTCCCTCCTCCTCCCCGAATCATCCTCTACCCCCGATGGGCCCCCACCTCCACCCAAGGCGTCGGAACGCTCCTTCAGCTACACGACAAAGGCGGAGCGGGCGAGGGAGAGGGAGAAGCAGAGGGAGAAGAATTCGCGCATGAAGGAGGCGAGGATTGAGAGGGAGAAGGCGAAGCGTAAGAGCGCAAAGAAGGGGGGTGGGAAGGGGAAGGGGAGGAAGTGAATTTGGAATACAAGTAGAGTTCAAAGAAAGTCTTCTCTGCGATGAGAGCATGACTGACGATGAGATGACATGGGAAGGTGGATTGTGACGCGGCTTAGAGAGACAGAGAGACAGAAACAGAGGAAGAGAAGCCAGCGGCTCTTGCTCGTTGCTCCATTGCCTAAGGTGGCACTGCGTGTCGTGTCGTGTCGTGCCGTGGCACGTCTCCCTTCGCCTCACGCAAATCCCGTAGTAGGAGGAGGGGCCCCTCGGAATGCCCCTCTCCCTCCTCCTCTTCCTCCACCACCACGTCCCCTCCCCCGTCCCCTCCCCCTCCCACGATACGTCGATTGCCCAGTCTCGCCAAATGTGTCGAGATTCTTTCGATCCTCCTCAAATCGCGCCTGTCTTCCCCTACCACGCCCCCTGCCACCGAACCCAGGTCCAGGACCACCACGCTCTCCGCGCTCTCCCGCGGAGGCATCGAAGCCTGAAGTGATAACGCCCCCACCACCCGCGCCCCCTGCTCTAGGTCCCTGGATGTGCGAGCGATCGTGCCTCTCCCTAACCTCACTGCTAATGTTATCAAAGAAGCTCCCCTTGTCATAGAAGCTCTGCGTGGGGCTCTCCTTCGGCGGAGGAATGGCGTCAAGCTCAGCACCTCCCTCTTCTCCATTCCCATCCTCTCCGGCCCCACCTTCCTTCTCCTTGGCGAAGCGAGCATTGGCCGACTCGAAGTCATAGTCCGTTGCAGGTACATCGACACGACTGCCACTGTGGTCAAAGACGCTCTTGTTCCTCCCGCCACCTCCACTCCTAGACGCGCTTGTAGCGTGAGAGGGGGCGGTCGCCTGAGGGCGGGCGGGCAGGTTTGCGTGTGCAGCGGGGGAACGAGAGCCGGAGGGACCCGTAGGGATCGTGTTGTTCGCTATAGTAGTGGACTTGGAAGTGGGCTTGGGTGGGACGCTCGAACTTGAAGGCCCCGCCGGACCAGAAGGGGGCGCGCGGGGTGATGACAATGACTGATCCTGCTTCTTGTCCTTTTCCGCCACGCTGAGCTTGGAGAAGTCTTCTGCTACGCGCGAGGCGCCATTAGACGTGCTGCTACCTGCGCCGCTGGGTGGAGTGGGCTTGACCTCTGCGGGTGCTGCGGAAGGAGTGGGCTGCTGGGGAGGGGGAGGACGCTGCTGCTGCTGGTGCTGCTGGACGTGCTGGCTGGGCGGGGTAGGCCCAGGCGCACCGAATTGAGGAGGGGGAGGACCGGCGAATGGACCGGGCCCGTACCCGCCGTACGCGTGGGGAGGAGGAGGAGGACCAGGAGGGCCCCAGCCTTGTCCTTGTCCCTGTCCTGGAGGGGGACCGTAAGGCCCAGGGCCGCCAGGAGGAGGCGGGGCGCCACCGCCGTACCTTCCGGAGGACTGTGTGCAGCCAATGAGAGAGCGATAGTCAGCGCGTCATTCCTGAGTGTATGCTACGTTGCGACGAGACGGAGCGGGCTGCTGGCTTGTATCAAAAGATCAGAAGGAAGGCAACGGAGAGATCCACATGGTTTTTGCGCTCTCGGACCACAGCTCGCCTCGAGGGGTCGAGCCTTTTACATCCGTAAAATGCTTCATCACATCAAGGCCACCGCACGAGTCGCTGCTTTCGCTGATACTCACCCCAAGAATGGCCGGATCAACGAACCCTTGCTGTCCAGGTTGCTCCCGCTTAGGATGGGGATCATCAATCTTGAGGTCCTTTACATCTGCGGCTTTGAAAGTAACAAACTCGTACACGTTTGCATTGGGCGGGATCTCTTCGCCTGCCTTGCCCTGCGAGGCTAGACGACCTTCCGTGCCATAGGAGCGAACTGCGAGAGAGTGAGCGAAGAGGGGGAGATCAGCATGGGGTGAGAGAGAGGGGGAATGGCAGGTATTGCGACGTGCGCACCCATCTCAAGGGCGATTGTAGCTGCGACGGGGTCGATCTGAGCTAGAAAGCCTTGGTACCTTATGTCCGACTTGGAGATGAGGCTGATCAGCGCACCGATGAAGTCGCCTGGCCCGCCGGATGCCCCTCCAGCACCGGCTGGGGCAGCTTGGGGCGTGGCCATTATGTGAGGTGGGGAGGGAGTATGGACAAGGGGTGAGGGTGACGAGTTGGAGTTGATGCGTGGGTGTGGACGGAAGGAAAGGAAGCCAACGAAGGAAGAAGAGGCACGCACAGCCAGTCAGACGCAGCCAGAGCCGCTGGCCGGGCGGAGAGAGAGACGGGGCCAGTTGAGCGTGCCACGAGGCAAAGGCAGAGAGAGCGAGAGCACCGACCGCCCGCGCGGCTGGCATCGGAGCAGCACAGGAAGCCAAAGCAAGCAGCGACTCGGACTCGGGCGACGACGACGACGACGACGACGACGACGACTACTTCCTGGCGCTCTCTCACCACGAACCACTCACTCCTCCTCCACCACTCTACAGTGCGTGAACCTCATCGATCCCCCCCTCACAGCCTCAGATCCGCGCTCACGCCTGTCTCCAACTTCCATCCTCCCTTACAGCCACCCACACCAACAACACCATGTTCGGCCTTCGCGCTTACCCGGTCCCCGTCTGGAAGCCCCTCTACCCCTTCATCCTCGGAGTGCGTGTCGCGCTCCACTACCCGCCCCCAACGTACTCAAGACCCCCTCGCTGACACCTCAAATCCCTCTCTGCTATCGCAACAGGGCGCAATCGTCTTCTACGGCACAGTGAAGCTGCAGAACGCTATGCTGGAGAGCGACGAGTTCAAGAAGGACCCTAGGAACCCGTACGGTTAGCATCATCGCTTTCGCCTTGCTTCCCCTCCAAGCATGAAAGAGGACCTCTCGAGCTGACATGACATCTCCCTGCTCTTCTCGCCTTCGCTCGCTCGCCCCCAGCCAACAAGAAGTCCGGAGGACACTAAGCCGGTGGAAGAGGGGTGGGAAACGGTATGGCACGGCACGAGGGGAGGAGCGGGAGAAGCAAGCAAGCAAGCAAGCAAGCCTGTGATCCTCTTCGCTCCGCCCCCGTCTCGCTATGCTGCAATACAAGTAGATTGAAAACAAGCCGCATACTCAGACACGCACACACACACGCACACTCTCGCTGGATGGTAGTGATGTCTCACGGTCTTGGAATTGGATTGGTCGATTCGATTCGGATCGATGGCATGACCACACGAGGGGGATGGAATGGGCGGTTATGCCAGGATGAGAGGGGAAAGCTGCAAGCTGCTGCTGCTGCTGCTGCTGTGCTCGGTCATTACTTTGGGTTGTGGCTCGCTGGCTTACTCCCCTCGCCCGTGCCCTGCGCCTCAGAAGGGCTGATCACACGGCTTCACATCGATGCCAGTGACGGGCTCTCCCGCCGGTAAGTCGAGTATGACATTGCTCACCGTCCAATAGTAGTGGCCATGCTTGTCCGGCACCCGATTCCCATAGTTGATGAGGACGTGCCCCGACGTAGGGCGATACTCCTGCTTGGCGATGAAGCGGCTATGCGTTCCGGGAGCCACATTCATCTGTCGTCGGGGGGAAGAGGCCGGTCAGCAAACCATTCCACCTCCTCCCTTGACTACACTTCACTTCCTCCGTACGCCAGAGTAGTCCCACGCACACACGCACCTCAACGCCCTTTCCCTCGGCCGTCGTGCTCGTATGGCTCTCCCCGTGCGTCAAACCCGCCGAGATGCCGGGAAAGTCGACATTGACGCTCGTGCTCATGGAGAAGGTGCTATCAAAGGTAGTCGTGTCCGTCACTGCCTTGGTGATGTTCTCTGCGGAGCGGATCGTGGCGCGACGGGACAGGGGGCAAAGGTGAGCCCTCACAGCACACGTACGGCACCACAACATTTTGCCTGGCACCAACGTCGCTGACTCACGCTTGTCTCCGGAGCAGTTGGGCAAGGGATCTCCCAGCTGCTTGACGACGTCGTGCGGCTGGTTGAGGTCATTGTCCCTTGTCCACATGCAGTTGTCGGCGCCCTCGATTGGGGACCTATGCGCGAGGGGGCTAGCGCGTGAGGCCGGCCCGCCTTCTTGATGACTACGACACAGTACACTCACCTGATCTTGGATCCAGGGCAGCTGTTCAGGAGGTCCTGACAGTGCGCAAGGTATGGCAAGACAGGGGAAACACCATCAGCATCCAGAAACGGTATCCCGCGACTCTGCTGCTGCGCACTCTACTCACCTCAATCTTGGGATCGTCTCGAGGAGTCAGTCCCAGAGGGGAAGCGCCCTCGTCCTCACGCTGCGCAGCGGAGACCAGTATGAAGGCCAGGGAAGGGAGCAGCGCGAAGATGTTGCGGTGGAGGATCATGGTGAGCGGGGGAGGGTGCCGAGGTAGTGGTGATTGGTATGAGGAGAGGAGAGAAGGGAAATAGCGAGTTCGAAGGCGGGCGAGGTGAGGTCAGTCGGAGATGCGACGACAACGAGTAGGCTGCTGCTCGTTTGTGTGGCTACTGAGAAGTCACAGAACCGAGGCCCCGCGGCTGGCTGGCTGTTTCTCTTCGGCCTCGTTACCGCGACGTTGGGCGTCAAGCAGGCACAATCACATCTTGGTCCTTTGCCAATCACATTGGCCAGTACCTCATCTCACTATTCGTCGCTCGCCACCTCCCTCCTTTCCATCCTGCCACTTCCCTTTCAACCTCACCACTCCAAACCCTACAATGCTTCGCATCAACCATCTCGTCACCGTCACCTTCGTGGCCGTTCTCGCCACGGCCGTAGTCGCCTCTGCCATCTTCAGCGACGACGTTACGATGCGTCGCGACGACGGGCCTGCTCCTTCGCCTGAACAGCTTCTCGCCACCTGCCCGTGAGTCCGAGGCGAGGCAGTGGTAAGAACGATTGACTGAGTGTTGTCTCCCTCGCGCAGCGGCGGCTCGATCCACAATGCGGACAAGTGCACCTTTGAACCTGACGGTACCACCTCCAAGGTGTACCAGTGGCTCGTAAGCAAGTGCGTTCAACGCGTACTCACTCAGCGTCACCCTCCCTCCACCGAGTGCTCATCGCCGCTTGCTCCTTCTCCCGCAGTGCTGGCGAGAACTGCGACCCCGACGCCAAGACGGACCTGAAGATCACGCTCAAGATCTCGCAGAGCTCCAGGGACGCATACAGCGACGGCGTCACCGTTGGCACGGGTATCGCGGAGGAAGGAGTCGGCATCAAGATCGAGAACACCGCCATGTACGGTGAGCGTCCATTTCCCACATCCGTTCGCACGCCGTATCCTCATAAGCCCCTCTGCACATCCTTCTTCGCTCACGCCACCGCGACAGAGAAAGGCGTCACCGTCTCGCACGACGAGCTCTACACTGCGCAGGTGGAGCCGCACTCGAGCAAGGCACTGGTAGCGCAGACGGGCTACACGCGCCACAATGGCAGGATCTGCGTCAACTACGGCAACAAGGTAGGAGGCCACTACATCTGTGAGCACGACACGCGCTGCGAGCCAGACAGGCAAGAAGCGCTGTAGCTCATCTCATTACTCTCCTTTGTCTCGTCGCGGCTGCGCGGCTTTCCGGCAGGGTACGTCAAAGCCAGCAACGATGTCCCCGACAGGAACGACGTGGTCCGCACGACTATCCCGCTCAGATGCGGGCAGACGCCCGACAGCGTGATTCAGGAATGGAACCATGATCCCGCCCAGAGGAGGCTCCACTATTAGACTAGATGGGGGCTGTAGGCATCCACTCAGTGATCGCAAGGCGAGGCGAGGCGGGATGGCCATCCAAGGCTGGCCAGCCGTCACGTCTCTCCGCAATCACGTACCAATTACACTGCAGCTCACCATCGTTATCACCAGCTCATCTCAATAGTCGCGCCGTGTCTTGACCTCTTTGTCATCTAGCTAGATACGAGAGAGCCCCATTGAGCAAGAACTCCGCAAACCGTGCGACGCGTGAACCTCGAGTGAGCTGGGCGTTGTTCGTTGCTCGCTGCTTAGGCTGGGCCGAGCTTCGGTGGCCTGAGTCGACCACGTGGGACAGTCCCACTTCCGCCCGGCGTCCCGCCTCCATTCGCGCTCAGTCGTACGATCAAGTCTTCAACTCCTCACCACATTGCGAACCCCACACCTCTACACAATACCATGTCCGGTGCCAGAGGGAGCGGTCGCGGCCCGCGAGGAGGAGGAGCAGCTGGTGCAAGAGGCGGCAGGACAGGCCCCTCAGCAGCAGCAGCTACTCCCATCCGCGGGCCAGGGACTGCACCGAGTACGATCCGCGGTCCGCCGACCACCACCACCACCTCCTCCTCCTCCCACGCAGGGCCAAGTAAGCCCACTCCCCCGCTCTCCGGCCCCTCCTCCTCCCGCTCCACGCCAGTCGCCTCGTCCACAACCAACTACTCCGGTGCAACCACAGGCGTAATAGGCCACAAGGACAAGTCCGGCCGAATAGTCGACCTCGTAGCATCAGACGACCGCTGTCCCAACTGCAAGACGGACCGTTACCTCAACCCTCGTCTAAAACTGCTCGTCTCCCCCTGTTATCACAAGCTCTGCACATCTTGCATCGACCGTATCTGGTCCCTTGGTCCAGCACCATGCCCGCAGTGTGGGCACGTATGTAGGAAGAGCCAATTTGGGGCGCAGACGTTTAGCGATCTGGATGTGGAGCGCGAGGTGGATGTGCGCAAGAGAGTGGGGAGGTTGTTCGCCTCGCGCAGTCAGGAGGATTTCGAGACGTTGAAGGGGTACAACGATTGGCTGGAGGAGGCGGAACGACTGACGTTTAATCTGGTGAACCGCATAGACGTTGAGGAAACGAATGCCCAGCTGGCCAAGTACGAGGGGGAGATGAAGCGCAACCTCGCCGCCGCCAAGAACGGGGGAGGAAGCAATGGCAGCGCCGCTGCGGGGGATGGGGCTCTGCTCGAATCACTCGAGTCTCGCCTGTCCTCCCTGCGCCAGTCCCGCGTGGCCAGACGCAAAGCGCATGACGTCGAGGATGCTGCGCTCAAGAAACAGCAAGAGGACGCAATCGTTGCTGCTCTAGAAGACGGGTCCGAAGAGGACGAGTTGGAGGCGATACAGAATCAGTGGAGGGAGAACAGGGCTCAGCTGGAGGCGAGGCGCGAAGAGGAGGAGGCGCGGGATGTGGTGCAAGAGGAGGAGCTGAGGAGGGAGATAGCTGACGCTCAGAGTGGTGCTGGGCGTAGGATCACCACCGGCCAAGGGAAAGGTGGGGCAGGAGCGGATCGCACGGAATGGAAGGCGGACTCCCTCCTTCAGTTCAGCGGGCCTATGGCCACCCTAGCTGCGGGAGACGAGCTCCTTCAGCACGCAGTGGGAAAGCTACACCCGCCAGCTGAGCTGCTCGAGAGCTCCCCTACTAGAGCGGGGGAGGTTCAGGCGGTATGGACGCCCTATGACCCGTGGATCGAGCCCTTCCTCTCCCACTTGCACGAAGAGGAGGGCGGCGCGAAGCTGGGCCCCTTCAAGGCAGGAGGGTACGATGTGGCTGAGTGGTGGAGGGCGCAGATGCGCGCAGGGGTGGCGACGCTCGGCGTTAGTGTTGATGCGAAGGCAGGTGCAACTTCAGCGTAGCAGCCGGTATCACGTCGTTGCACCTATCCTCATCATGTACTTGTAAGGGAAGCATTCCGAATGTACATATCGTAGAGTAGAGTGTGTCGTGTCGTGTCGTATGTTTCGTGTCGGATGTTCCCCGTGAGGTGAGGTGGGTGAGGATCCCAACCCTGCATGAGTAGTTGCAAATGCGATTCGCGAGCACGCGCACGCGCACGGCCACGCCCAGGCAGGCGGACTGGCCGCCTGAGCGCTTTCTGCGCCAAATTTTGAGTTGAGCCTTGCGCGAGATAAGGCAGTAGTAGACTAGACTAAATGCACCGCACCTTCTTCCCTCCTGCCGCATCCTCACACCTCCCCCAATCCTCGGTCACCTACCCCTCCTTCCTCGCATCATGGCCTCTTCGTCATCTGCGGCTGCTTCACAACAGCAGCACGAGACGGTCCCGGACGACCATTACCGCGTGACGTACGAGGAGATCCATGAGCAGATCAGCCGGTCTGCGCGATTGATGAGGGACCAATTTGTGCGTACGAAAGTAGAGAGACTAGTGGACTACTATTCTCGGCGCGTGGCGTGGCGTGGCATGGCGCCAACGTGAAGCATGCGCTGAACTTAATGCCCGCCCTGTGCTCTCCCCACTCTCTTGCCTCCTGCTCACTTGTGCGCTCTCACTCCCACTCGCAGCGGCCCGACGTGCTAGTTCCCATCATGGGCGGCGGAATGATCCCGGCCCGCGTGCTTCGCACTTTCCTCAAGGTGCCCTCGGAGGTGGACAGCTCCAAGAAGTACGTGACGCGACGTCTGCCGCACCGACATCTCCACTCTGTAGCCCCAATCTTTGATCCAGCCTACTCACACCTCGCTCCCCTCCCCTCCTCTCGCTCCTCGCTCGCGTAGACGCAACATCCCCATCCAAGCCATCGGCCTTGCTCTCTACGAGGAAGTGGCAGGCACCTCCGCCGAGTCCATGGGTCGCGAGGTGATCCGCACCCAATGGCTCGACGAGGGAACATTCAAGCGTTCTCACCACGCCAAACAACCCTCCCCATCAGGAGCAGGAGCGGCGGGTGGTCTACTGGGCAAGAACATCCTCATAGTAGACGAGGTAGACGACACGCGCACCACGCTGCAATACGCGTATCAGGAGCTTCTCGCCGACGTGCAAAAGGGCCTCGCCGCCCTCGACCCTGCTCAACGTGCTGCTCTGCCCCCTACCCGGTTCGCCATCTTCGTCGTTCACAATAAGCATCGCGAGGGAGGAAAGAAGGGCGTCTTGCCGCTCATGGCAGGGCAGGGGGAGGGGTGGAAGTTGGAGGACCAGAAAGTCGGGCAAGACGGGGTGGGAGAGGGAGTTTGGTATTACTCGGCCGATGAGACGGGAGATTGTTGGGTCGATTATCCGTGGGAGACGGAGGGTGAGTTGGCGCGGAGGCGGCGAGCGAGGACGCATGCTATATGCGGCTGTGACGATTGACTGACTGACCGATCTCGTACGCACTCGCACAGACATTCTCGAGCATAATCGTCTTGCGACGCTGGCAAAGAAGCTGGGCGTGAATACGGGGAGGCCACCTGTCAAGGAGACGTGATGAAGCGCAGCGTGGGCGCGATGAGCAATGAGATGAGAAAGTAAACGTGCAGCGTGTGGTGATGTGGAGTCATCTATGATTACAGAGTGAAGTAGCCAAATTGGGGGAAATACGCCAGCGCTCAACGCTGCTATGCCTTGGCCTTTTCGTTATTGCTTCCTTCACTTGCCGGCACCTCAGCGAGTGCCTTGAGCAGGTCCTGTCACGACGAAGGGTGAAAGCAAAAGATGAATCAATCAAGTCAGCCTCGCGCCTCTTCCTCCTCCCACTCTCGCATCGCATCGCATCGCGTCTTACTCACCGGACTCTCCGGATCAAACTGAAGTCCCACCCTCAAAGCCTCCCTCGCCTCCTCCCCCCTCCCCATCTCCCTCAATGCCACCCCTTTCCTGTAATGCCCCTTCAACCAGGGTCGCTTAAGCTGAACAACGGCGTCCGCATCCACGTATGAATCGACCCAGTCCCCCACAGCGGCAAAAGCCGCACTTCGATTGCAGAGACAGACGGCCAGCTCGTCACGGGCTAGGGCGGCCATCTCCCATAGGGGACGAGAGGCGGCCATGTCCACTGCGAGGGTGAAGAGCTTGATGGCTTCCTGTGCGGGGCAGGGTGCCAATGAGATCCTGTTCAGTCAGTGTATCGCTCCTGGGCTTCAAAGTGGGAGGAGGTAGACCTTCATCGCGCACGCACAGCATACTCTTTTCTCTTGAAGGCCTCCTTGCCCTGCTCGCGCGCCTGATTGACCGCCATGCTCCTTTGTGGGGGAACGGCATTCGGTGGTGGTGGAAGGGCTGCCAGTTGGCCACTCTTGACAGCTGCAGGATTGCTCTGTCGTTGTGCTTCGCCTATTGCGGCGATCTGGCGCGAGAGGGCATTGAGGATCTGTACGTCGTGCGTGGGTGAAGACACGAGGTTCGTCGTTGGGTCGATGGTGAAGTCTACTGGCTTGAAGGAAGAGTCGTTCAGGGCCAGCTGTTCGGCCGTGAGGGGTGGTGGTTGGGGTTGCTGTGGCTGTCCCTGCGCGTGCGCGTGCGCGTGGGGTTGAGCCATTGCTTTGCCGGTGATGGTGGTGTTGGATAGTACGATGGATGCCTGCGTCAATGCAGCAGCGCAGTCGTTGTCGTCGTGGCGGCCTTGGCTCTTTCTCCGCCTGTCCGCTCTCGAAGCTGCACCCACCCGCGTTCCGTTCCGTCCTGTTTGTTCGCGTTGCGAGTTGGTTGGGTCGTTGGCTCGTCTTGGACTTGGACTGGATTGGCTCGAGACTTGCTTTCGTTTGCTGCCTTTGCCTTTCCTTCTCTCTCCTCGTCATCAACAACAATCACCATTCCCCCACGCGCCCCGCGTCGGGTCATACAGCATGGATCCCGACTACTCTTATTCCTACGATGTGTCCACCGGCTCGCCCTCCTTGGCCGGTCCATCGAGATCGCGGACGCGACCATCATCAGCACGCAAGCCATACGCACGGCCCAAGGTGGACGATGGGCTTGCAACAACGCCTACCCCATCCCAATCACGCAAGACGCTCGTAATTGACCACGCATCCCCCTCATCAGCGAGAGGGACAGCCACAGCCACAGCGACTACCACACCCACTACGCCGCTGCCAGGCCTGTCGCGCAGCAAATCTACCTCCCTCTTCTCCTCTCTCACACGCGCCATTGCTCGTCCACTCACCTGGCTAGCCAACACGCCCGCAAAGTCCGATTTGGACGATGCGCCGTTGCCATCGAGCACTTCATCGACTTCCCTCGCCGAGCTGGCAAAGAAGAGGCGCACCGATTCCGTCACACGGGGTGGTGAGGCCAGTGGCGCATTGGCATTGGCACCACCGACGTCAATCTCACGATCGAGGCTTCGTCATGTCACCAGACCGGATACGGACCTCGATATAGAGAGTCAGGATTCATCCACGTCGATGCCCATGTCCAAGAGCCCCTTTGCTGCTGCGGGAGCAACGGCCTCTACTCTACCACGGAGCGCCTCAGTCCTTCCCTCCTCCTCACGACGGGCGCTACACATCTCCCCTCCCCGCGCTGGGCACGTCAACGATGCGAGCACGAGCTTGGCGGATACCTCTCTGCCCTTCCTGCGCTCCCCTTCACCATCCGCTCGCTCGTCGGCAAGCGCAGCAATTCGCTCTTACGGCGGCGGCGGCGGCGGCTACGGCGGCTCGACACGCGCTCGGTCGCGCGCCTCTGTCGGCCCAGGATCAGTCCTCAGCAATCGTGCGGGCTCCATCGCGCCGAGCGAGAGTGCGAGCGTTGTAGCCTCACGCCCACCCGCGTCTGGCTTCACCTACGGGTTCGGCACAGAACGACGATTGGGAGGACTGGCGCGCTCGGGCGATGCGCTTCTCTCGCACTCGCCGCTCCGTACGAATGCCAACCGGAACGCAGCCAGTCAATTGGCATCACGCAGTCCCTTTGCGAGCGCGGGGGCGGGGGTGGGGGTAGGGGCAGGGGCGGGGACTACCTTGCCTCGCTCAGGGTCCATGAGGGGTACACCAGTGCGCTCCGTTCTCGCAGGGGGAGGAGGAGCAGGCGGGTCTGTCCTTGGCGGAACGCCCTCCTCATTAGGGGGCAGTCTATCTCGTGCGCGCACGTACGGTGCACTCAACCTCAACCTGTCCTCTCCTAGGGCGCACCAGTCAGAGGGGGAAAGGATGGCAAGGGATTACACGGCGGCTCAGGCTCGCCACAATGCAGTCGCTGGCATGGGAATGGGCACGCCGAGTCGCAGTCGACTTACCACGCCCATCGTCAACGCAGGCACGAAGAGAGACGCTACCGAGGCCCTCGGTCTTGCCTCCCTCCACCTTGACGCTAGCTCTGCAGTGGGACCCGCCACCAGCATCCCAACGGGCTCCGCACGGAAGCGTCAAATGATCTGGGACCCCTCGCTGGGGTTCATCTCTGCCGAGGAGCTCGAGGCTCGCCTGCCGCAGAAGGTCAAGCCGAGAAATGAGGCGGAGAGGATCTTGGCTGTGCTGGAAGGTATGCGCACCCCGCTAGGGGATGCGAGGAGGGGGGCGATGAAGAGCGCGAGTGCCGGTGTAGGTGCGACACAGACGCAGGCGTTGGGGAGGGGCACGAAGAGTATCAATGTCCCGCTGCCCGTCCCGGCACCCAAGGGAGATCGAGAGCGAGAGAGGACTGTCGTTGGGCCTTACTCGAAGCGCAACTCCCACATCAACGCCAGCGCCCGAGGAGACGAGGGAATGAGAGCCAAGCTGAAGCGCACACAGCAGCAGCAGCAGCACCCGCGACCGGCTCCCTCCCCGCCGCGAGAGGAAGAAGCGATGGAGGAGATCGAGTCCGAAGAGGAGGAGGAAGAGCGCGACCCGACACCACCACCGGCCCGCAGAGTGACCCGACGGATGGCTGCCAGGGCGAAGGAAGAGGCGATGAGCCCTCCCACTGCCGCTCCTGCTCAAACGCAGAGCACAGGGAGGAGAGGAAGTCGTACGGCGGCCTTCTCGCCCCCACCGGCCACTAGGAGCAGGAGCGCCCTCTCTCCGCCTCCGGTGACGCGAAGTCGCAACCCTCTCTCTCCACCACCGACGACAAGGAGTCGCGCTGCTGCTGCTGGCACGCCCAACAAGAGAGCGGAAGCCCCCACCACGATCCGTTCGACGAAGAAGCGCGGCCCTTCTGCAATTAGAGGACAGCGCGATGACGAGGATGAGGACGATGAGATGCACAACCAGCCTACCATCGCCAGTCGCTCAGCGAAGAAGAGCGTACAAGTCAAAAGTCCAAAGAAGACGGCTCGCTCCCCTTCTCCTCCTCCACCTCCAGCTTCGGCCCCAGCTGCCACCCAAGCGGACCCGCCTCGAGCGTCCCAATCCCGCTTCCAGGTCCTCTCCCCCGAGTCTCAGGCCAAACGCGCGTCCCAATCCAAGAACTCCTCGCTCCGCATAGGTGCAGAGAAATCGTCGCGCACGCACGGCAAGTCGGGCAAGATCTCGGCATGGGACTCTGATGAGGGAGAGGAAGAGGAGGGAGACGAGGAGCTGGCCGCTCTTGATGTTGAGGCGTTGCAGAAGATCAAGTTGCCAGAGACCATGTTCCCCGCTGGGTTTTCGTTTGGTGGTGCGGGGAGCAAGGCCGAGAACGGGGAGACCTCTGACAAAAGCACGAAGCCGAAGCAGGCGAACATATCTCTTCCAGCAGCCTCATCATCATCGTCATCATCATCATCAACCGCCCTTCCAGCGGGCGAGGCCTCCAGCTCGAGCTCGAGCTCCAACCCTCTGCTCGGTCGTCTAGGCGGTTTTGCCCCTCCCGCCCCGGCCACCGCCCCGGCCATCGCCTCCTCCAGCTCCTCGACAGCACCCTCCGCACCCGCGTCCACATCCAAACCAGCATCAACCCTTCCCGCCCCGTCCAACTTCTTTGCTCAACCCTCTGCCCCAAGCTCAGCCAGCACTACGACCCCGGCGGGCAGTGGCGCAAAGGCAGAGGATGAAAAGAAGAGCGGGCCCGTCCCCAACTTCTTTGGAGCTAAGGCTGCGGGAGGACAGAGTACGAGCACAAGCTCGACCGCGGGTAGCACAGCCAAGCCGTTCAGCTTTGGACCGCCTGCTACCGGCGCGGGGTCGAATGAGACGAGCAAGGAGACATCGAGTGGCAGCGCTGGTGGGTTCTCCTTTGGCAAGCCTGCGGATACGACGACGACGGCGAGCAAGCCAGCGGATGAGGCCGGTAGCGCGAGCAAGCCTTTCTCCTTTGGCAAGCCTGCGGAAACGACTGCGACTGCTAGCAAGCCCTTCTCCTTCGGCAAGCCAGCCAACACCTCCGCCTCTGGCGACAATGCCTCGTCGAGCCCTTCCTCGAGTACAGGCACATCGGGCTTCTCATTCGGCAAGCCTGCGGCTGCACCTACTTCTGGAGAGGAGAAGACTGACGCCTCTGCCAACAAGCCGGAAAAGGATACCGCAAGCGGAGCGACGCCCGCTTTCACTGGATTTGGGGCGCCAGCATCATCAACAACAACAACAGCAGCAAAGCCTGCGACTTCTGCGCCTGCCCCCGCATCGACTGGCTTCTCGTTTGGTAATGCCTCGTCTGCGTCAGCTCAGCCTCAGTCCGCGGCTGGCAGTGCAAGTCCTGCTCCCTTCGGCGGCTTCGAGGGCTTTGGCCAATCATCAGCATCGCAAGATGAAGGCGCCAAGAAGAAGAGGGGAGCCGATGGTGCGGAGGAGGAGGGAGACAAGGAGCCAGCGGCCAAGAAGCCCGCTTCGACTCCCGCGTTCAGCTTTGGCCTACCCGCCGCCTCTTATTCGTCGTCGTCATCAGCATCATCCTCCCCCGCGCCCGCAGCCGCGTCCTTCTCCTTCGGCAAGCCCGCAGCCGCGAGTACGAGCGCCACCTCAGGCACGCCGCCGCCGTCGACGACGGGAGGATTCTCCTTTGGCGCCCCCTCTTCGCAGCCTGCTCAAGCCTCAATGGGCGGCGGTGGGTTCACATTTGGAGCCCCGAAGACGGACACGGCCACGAGCTCGAAATCAGCAAGTAGCGGCTTCACCTTTGGCGCTGCGCCCAACACTCCTGCTCAACCCCCCGCAGGATCCGGGATGAACGCGGATGGCATGATGGACGAGAGCCCTGTGCAGGGCATGAATGGCACGGGCATAGCGTTCGGAGCCAAACCTCCTGCGACGAGTGGCGGGGGATTCTCCTTTGGCGCCCCAGCGACAGCGAGTGGCACGAATGGCAACGGTGCGAATGGCCCAACGGGAGGGTTCAGCTTCGGAGCCCCCGCAGCGAAGTCGGCATCGGGCGCGAGCTCGAGCACGCCCGCCTTCTCCTTCGGCAACACCAACGGGGGCGGCGGCGGTGGGTTTGGAGCCAACACGGGTACTCAGCCCTCTACGCCTTCCACCGCCCCGACGACGGGGTTCAGCTTTGGCTCCCCCGCCCCCGCTCAGCAGCAGCAGCAGCCGGCAAGTGGAGGGATCAACTTCAACTTCTCCTCCCCCGCCTCGCAAGCACCCTCGCCCGCTCCAAGTGGTGGTGCGCCCTTCCAGTTCGGCAACCCTAACCCCGCGACAACCGGCCCTGCTCCGCCCTCCACGAGCGGCGGGTTCAGCTTCGGCGCACAGACACAGGCACAACCGCAGGGGGGCAATCCGTTCCAGTTTGGCGCTCCGTCTCAACCGCAACAGTCCACCTCGACGTCGACACCCGCTGGCTCACCGGCTCCCTTCACCTTTGGCTCGCCCGCGCCTGGAGGGCCGGTGTTGTTCAACATCGGGAGCGGGGGCAACGAGGGGGGAGCGGGAGCGGGAGGGGGAGGAGGTGGTGGGGGTACGCCGGGGAGGCAGGTGAGGAGGTTGCCGAACAGAAAGAGGGCGTAGTGGGAATGAGGATGGTCAGAGGGACGAAACGAAGCGAGCGCGAGCGAACGGCGGACGTCGGACGATGGACGATGGACGATGGACAGTAATACTAAAAATGCGATAGCGATCGACACAGCCATAGCATCGCATTTGTGCATCGAAGCGATTAGCATGAGCATGAGCATGAGCACGAACAGTCACGCGGGGCAATGAGGCGATGCTGAGCACGAGCCGACAGCCATCCGCCGTGCGCCGTGCGCCGTGCGTCGTGCGCCGTGCATCGTGTCGCTCGCAGGCTACCGACTGCCGACCGTGACGATGATGCGACGCTCCAAGCGATGCTATGGTGCGACTTTGATGCCAGTGGACGAGGGATGCGTTCTGACCCTCAACGTGCGACGTGGATGTACGTTGGTCAAGAGTGGCGCCGCGGGGAGCGCGAGATCGTTTTCGACGGCGGCGACGCGTTGGCCCACGCGCACGTTGACGTAGCGTTGCTGTGGAGTGCTTGTGTGATCTGGCTTGGGGTTGGAAAGAGG